AGGAAGAACTAAAACCTATCCTCCTCAGACTACTACAACAAATCCAAGAGGAAGGAATACTTCCAAGCTCATTCTATGAAGCCAGCATCACCCTAATACCAAAACCAGGTAAAGACAACACAATGAAAGAGAATTAAAGGCCAATATTCCTCATGAGCATAGATGCCAAAATCCTCAACAAAATCTTAGCAAATCGGATCCAGCAGTACATCAGAAAGATCATACATCATGACCAAGTAGGATTTATCCCAGGGATGCAAGGATGGTACAATATCTGAAAATCAATAAACGTGATACATCACATAAATTGAGAGAAAAAAACCACAGTCATATCAATTGATGCGGAGAAAGCATTTGACAAAATCCAACACCCATTTTTGATAAAAACTCTCAGCAAGGTGGGAATAGAAGGATCATACCTCAACATAATAAAAGCCATATATAACAAACCCACAGTCAACATCATACTCAATGGACAAAAACTAACACCATTTCCCCTAAGAACAGGAACAAGACAGGGATGCCCCCTCTCACCACTCCTGTTCGATATAGTACTAGAAGTATTAGCCATTGCAATTAGACAAGAAGAAGAAAAAAAAGGCATCCAAATTGGAAAAGAAGAAGTAAAACTGTCCTTATTTGCAGATGACATGATATTATACATAAAAAACCCAAAAGACTCCATCAAAAAACTATTAGACTTAATAAATGAATTCGGCAATGTAGCAGGATACAAAATTAACGCCAAGGAATCTATGGCATTTCCATACACCGATAGTGAACTTACAGAAAGAGAGACTAAAAAACAATCCCATTTACCATCGCACCAATAAAATTAAGATACCTAGGAATAAACTTAACTAAGGAGGTAAAAGACCTCTACTCAGGAAACTACAGGACGTTGAAAAAAGAGACAGAGGAAGACATAAACAGATGGAAGAACATACCATGTTCTTGGATTGGTAGAATCAACATCATTAAAATGTCCATACTACAAAAAGCAATCTATAAATTCAACGCACTTCCCATTAAAATACCAACGGCATATTTCACAGGCCTAGAATGAACTCTCCAAAAATTCATCTAGAATAAAAAAAGACCCCGAATAGCTGCAGCAATCCTGAGAAAGAAGAACAAAGTAGGTGGGATCTCAATACCAGATATCAAGCTGTATTACAAATCCACTGTTCTCAAAACTGCCTGGTATTGGCACAAGAACAGACATAGAGATCAATGGAATAGAATAGAGAGCCCAGAAATTGGCCCGAACCAATATGCTCAATATTTCACAAAGGAGGCAAGAACATACAATGGAGTCAAGACAGTCTCTTCAATAAATGGTGTTGGGAAAATTGGACAGATACATGCAAGAAAATGAAACTAGACCACCAACTTACACCATACACAAAAATAAACTCAAAATGGATAAAGGACTTAAATGTACGATGGGAAACCATAAAAATACTAGAAGAGACCAAAGGCAACAAAATCTAAGACATATGCCGAAGCAATTTCTTCACCAATACAGCTCCTAGGGCATTGGAAACTAAAGAGAAAATAAACAAATGGGACTACATCAAAATAAAAAGCTTCTCCACAGCAAAAGAAATCATCAACAAAACAACAAGAAAGCCCACTGTGTGGGAAAACATATTTGCCAATGTTATAGCTGGTAAGGGCCTAATCTCCAAAATTTTAGGGAACTCATACAACTTAACAAAAGGAAGATAAACAATCCAATCAAAAAATGGGCAAAGGATCTAAATGGACACCTTTCAAAAGAGGACATTCAGAAAGCCAAGAGACATATGAAAACATGCTCAAAGTCAGTAATCATCTGAGCGATGCAAATCAAAACAACAATGAGGTACCATCTCACACCTGTCAGACTGGCTATCATCAACAAATCAACAAACGACAAGTGCTGGAGAGGATGTGGAGAAAAAGAAACACTCATGCACTGCTGGTGGGAATGCAGACTGGTGCAGCCACTGTGGAGAACAGTGTGGAGTTTCCTCAAAAAACTAAAAATGGAACTCCCATTTGACCCTGTGATCTCACTTCTAGGAATATATCCCAAGAAACCAGAAACACCAATCAGAAAGGATAAATGCACCCATATGTTCATAGCAGCACAATTCACCATAGCTAAGATCTGGAAACAGCCTAAGTGCCCAACAGTAGATGAATGGATTACAACACTGTGGTACATGTACACGATGTAATACTATGCTGCTGTAAAAAAGAAGGAACTCTTACCATTTGCAACGGCATGGATGCAACTGGAGAGCATTATGTTAAGTGAAATACGCCAGTCAATGAAGGAAAAACACCACATGATCTCACTCACTCATGGATAATAAAGACCATTATAAACTTATGAACAAAAATAGATACAGAGGCCAAGCTGCCTCGAAGAGACTGTCAAACTACAGTGGGAAAGCCGGGGAGGGTTCAGGGGCGGGGGTTTGGGGGGGGAGTAAGAGATCAACCGAGGGACTTGTATGCATGCATATAAGCATAACCAATGGACATAAGACACTGGGGGGTAGGGGAGGCCAGGGGATTGTAAAGGGCGGGGAAAAAAAGGAGACATATGTAATACTCTTTGTAATACTTTAAGCAATAAAACAAAAAAATAAAAAAAAATAAAGAAAAAAAAATAAGAGAAAACAGACATAGACTTAGGGAGAATGCTATCACATCTGAGGCAGAGAATGGGCTGATGCACCTATAAGCATCAATAAGAAATATAAAAGGTTGCTGGCAATACCTAAGAAAAAGGTTTGGAGCAGGTTCTCTTCTAGGGCCTTCACCAATATCATAGTTCTACTCACACCTGGTTTTTGACTCCTAGCCTCCAGAACTGTGAGAGAGTAAGTTTCTACTGTTATAATCTGTTTGTAGTACCTTGTTACAGCAGCCCTAGAAAGTTAATACTTATACTTCATTCTGATATACTCATTTAGTATGTATTTGCATCACATGCATTTTAAAAAGTAGAATTTTGGACTTAGAAAAATTTCATAATGACACAGAGTTCACATATATTCATCCCCCAAATTTTCTTATCTTCCATCTTTTTCATTACAGTAATATCTACACTAATAAAAGAGAAATATGTAAATTGTCACTTCATGACACCCACCAGCCAATCAGGATTGAGTATGCAAAATAGTGGGACAAAGATGGCAGTGGCCATGGAGCCAGCCGGAGCGGGCGGGAGGCTTGGGTCGCCTGGGCTGGCTGCCGAGGGATGGGCCTGCAAACGGCCCAAAGCCCTTCACCCAGGCTGGCCACACCACCATGGGGTGAGAGTCCCTACTGAGGGGCGTGGCCAGCCTGAAAACAGCCCTCAGCCCCTCACCCAGGCTGGCCATGTCCCCCCAGCGGGGACCCTCACTCCATGGGGGCGTGGCTGGCCTGCAAACTGCCCCAGACACTCGCCCAGGCTGCCCCACCCCCCAAGGGAGCCCCCACCCTGGTCCAGGACACCCTTCCCGGCAAACCAGCTGGCCCCCACCTGTGCACCAGGCCTCTATCTATACTAATAAAAGGGTAATATGCTAATTAGACTGGGAGACCTTCCATGAGACCCTCCGGACATTCTGGACAAAGCCATGGTGGCAGGGCCGATGTAGAGGCGGTTAGGGGCCAAGACGGAAAGGCAGTTGTGGGTGATCAGGCCGGTGGGGGGGGGGATGGGGGGGTGGGCAGTTGGGGGTGAGCAGGCCAGTAGGGGGGCCCAGTTGGGGGCGAGCAGGCCAGCTGGGGGGGGCAGTTGGGGGTGAGCAGGCTGGCAGACAGAGTGGTTAGGGGCAATCAGGCAGGCAGGCAGGTGAGCGGTTAGGAGCCAGCAGTCCCAGGTTGCGAGAGGGATGTCCCAGACTGGAGAGGGTGCAAGCCAGGCTGAGGGACACTCCCCCACCATGCACGAGTTTTGTGAACCGGGCCACTAGTAATTATATAAACCAGAAAATTAATATTGTTAGACTATTATTGATTAATCTTCAGACCTTATCCAAATTTCACCAACTGTCCTACTATCACCCTTTTTCTGGGTCAGGATCCAATCCAGGATTCCATATTGCATTCAGTTGTCATGCTTCCATAATGTTCTCAGATGTGGGAAATTTCTGTCTTTATCTTTCATTATATTGACATTTTTAAAAGTGTTCTGAGCAATTATAGTTTTGTTTTGCCACTGCAAAGTTATTACTTTTTCCTTTTGTAATTAATAATCTATCTTTGAGGGATATACTTTGAGACTCTGTAAATAATATGTTTACTGTCATATTTTCCCTATTAATGTCAGCACCCATCAAGATTCACTGCCTATAACAATTATTACTATGGTATTTGCTAATTGGTGATTTTCTATTTCCATAATTTATTCTTCATTTATTCACTGCAATTCTAATATAAAGAAGAACTGTTTGTACTTCCTTATTTATTCAAGTATTTGTTTATATTGGTGTGGATTTTTCTATTTATTTAGTCCATGGGTTATAATTTAAGACTATCTTTATCTAGTTTGGCGCTCCTTTATGCCAGGTTTGGCCAGTGGGAGGCTCCACTTCAATTCTAATAATTTCGGTTTCATTCCAGCCTTCCCTTTTCTTTTCTTTTTCTGACAGTGAAAAACTAGCTCCCTTTAGCCACAATATATTTACTTATTTGCTAAAATCTAGTATACACATAACCATCCCAGAATTGCTAACCAGTAACTCGGTGAAAAACAAATTTTCTATACATTTATTTTAAGCTACCACAATCCTTCTGGGATGAAAATAAAGAAGGAATTAAAACACAAGGAAGAAAGACAGAAAAACACTTAAGTACTTCTATATATAGGATCTCATTTGAATGGAAATTTCATCATGTCTTATACCAAAAAGCATACTATGATATATGTTAATAACAATTATATCCATATTATACATGTTAGCAGCTATTATATGCATATTATATACTTATATTGTAAAAATTAATTTTAGTACCCTTTTCTTTATATAGTTTGGTGAGAATAGGTCTCAAGCCAGCTGTGTTGTTAACCCATTCAATAATTCCACACTCATCATTCAATGGAATAACTGCATATGTTCGGATATGAAGCTCTCTTCTACGAGATTCTGCATCTTTTCTTAAGCACTATAAAAAAAAACACACACCATAAACTTAAAAATTTCTAAATGTTATATCAAATATATCTAAGATTGCTCATTTCATAGCAAAAGAAGGTCAATAAAAGCTTACCATGTAGTGTAGATGAATAATTTTTCATAATGATAGGCAAGGAAACTGATTGGACAGTATCCCTAATCTCTTTCTAAATCATTAAAAATGACTTGGGTAAGTCCTTTTATAAATTATTAGCCAAATGTGTCAACAATATTGTGTTAAAAAATATTATAGTTGTATATTTGATAATGACAAAGTATTCTTTTATTTTTATTGCTTCCAAAAATATTACTAAAATATTAAGTACTTAGTCACAGAGACTGCTGTTTAATTTTAATTCTCTCAAAAATGCATAAATAAAAGTATGAGTTTTATGATATCCCTAGTTTACTGTTACAATTTAATAATATAGCTTCATTTGAAAAATTCTCTTCTAGCGTAAGAAAGCTTTTCACATCTCATCTGATTAATCCTGAAATATAAGGTAAGGAATAAAGCGTATTTTGTTTAATTCTGGACCTGTATGAAATAAACTAACTATACATAACTATAATTGTAACCTGTCCAATTCAAAATCACATCACTGACCAAAAACATATTTTAAACTTTAGGAATAAGTAGGCTTCATAAATGTCAACAAAACAGTATGACATCAGAATCACACGTAAAGCCTCCTTGAATAACAAGTCAAACTCTAGTTTTTCACAATCAGGCTACTTTTCTCACCATGTTAATGTAGGAGAACAGTAATAAAATAACCTAATCAGTGACAAAGCCTATCAAGATAAATATAGAGCCCTGGCCAGCTACATCAGTGGGTTAGAGTATCATCCCGATACACCAAGGTTGCAAGCTCAATCCCCATTCTGGGCACATAGAAGAAGCAACCAATGAATGCATGAATAAGTAGAACAACAAACCGATGCTTCTCTCTCTCTCTCAAATCAGTAATCTTTTAAAAAGACAAATACATAAAGTAAAGCCAGGCCACTTGATAATCTCAACCAGAAAAACACTCAGAGAGCTTCAGGGTGAACATACTAATAGTTTAATAATCAGTAAATTAAATTATCATTTACCGAACATTTAAAATAAAAATATTCATTCTTTTCATATTACCTTTGAAATGGATTTTTAATATGGCATTAATTTTTAACTTACTTTTGATTAAACTAAGGACAAACCATAATTGTCTTTCTTTTTAATGAACTCATCTGCTGCCATATCTTTTCCATGTTAAAGGTCCATTCCTTTTTCTGCTTATAAAAGAGGTACTAGTGAAATGTGGGAAGGGGGGTGGAGAATAGGGAAAAAAGCTTATAAAAAAGAATAGGTTTCATCCTTCTACAGTATGCTTATTTTTACAATAGAAAAACAGATTCTGTGCATTTATAATACCTGTTTACAGAATAATTCAAAATAACTAAGACCATATATTTTTAATGAACCTTTAATAAAATTTCTCATACCATTTAAGAAATAGAAATCAAGTATTTACCAATAAAATAAACAAACAAAAAATACCAATGATCCACCTTTAAAGAGCGTATTGATAAAATAGAAAGAACCTAACATTTTCTTTCTAGCAATGAAACATAAAATGTAACTAAATCTGATATAAAAGTATATTATAGATCATTTAAACATTAAATAGAAAATATTTTCCCTCATTAATATAACATTCACTTTTCTCAGTATAATGCAAGTATCTTATTTTAAAAAATTAAGTGAGTGCTGGCCAGTATCTCAGTGGTTAGAGCACCAGCACGCGCACCGAAGGGTCATGGGTTCAATTCCTGTTCAAGGGCATGTACCTGGGTTGCAGGTTTGATTCCCGACGTGTTTCTCTTTATCTTTCACCCTCCCTCCCACCCTTTCAGTCTCTCTAAAAATCAATGGGGGGAAAATGGTTAAGATGATAAATTTTATGTATATTTTATCCCAATTTAAAAATTAATTTAAAATGAAAAGCAGTATATTTTATTCCTGTTTTTAAGACTGATCTATCTCCATACTGAAAAGTCTGTATCAAATTGACAGTAATTATGGTAATTATAAAATAAAAGCAAACTATCTCCAAACCTTATTAATCAAGGAATTGAATTCCATTAGTCTACAATCCTTTCTCAGGTCATCTTTTGGCTTACACATCATGATGTAGAACTTTCCATCTGATCCTTTTAAAGATATCTTCTTTGGTTTCTGAAGAGAAGCAAGAATTTCCACCTAAAAGATGGTAAGTTATATATAAATTAAGGTAAAATTCTTTGTATAAGTTTCTATGTATTATAAATATTGTGTTACCTAACATAATAAAAAGGAGAAAAATCTATATTATGTGGTAAATTTATTCTTTTAACAATTTCTTTCATTTTAATTATCTACGATGTATGAAAAGAATGGTTGCCCATACGTAGAGACACATTTTCTCCAATTACTAATGACTATGAAATAAAAGGATTATTTTATCAGCAATGTAAGTACATACACACCAAAATTTAGGCAGCCCTTAAAGTAGTCACAAAGTTGAAAAAAAATTAAAATATTTTTTAGGACCTTTCTTCAAAGGCTAAGACACTGTTATTAAATGTCTTTAATCATAACAAATGTTTATCAATTGAAAGTAACTTGATTATTTTAAAAAGAAACTTCCCCAAATTCAAATCTAGTTAATAAGTCTACCTAATAATATTAATTTAAAAGAAACCATGACTATAAGTAATAAGAATGCTTGCATTATGTGATTTAATTACTGGTTCTGAAGCAGTTAAACAAATGTTTTAAAACAGAAGCATTGTAATAAATTTGTTTTCAAAAGTATTTACTTAGAAATACTCTACTACCATTTCTTTAAAACAGCCACACATCATACTTCAAAAAAAGAATCAGGCTCTTCCTAGCTGAATTTCACTTTCTTAGAAAATAGAAACAAAAAATTGTTTGTTTGTTTTTTCCTGTTCTCTATATTTAAGACAAAAGAAGAGTATGGAAAAATCAAATTGTGAAAAAAGATAAATATTATACTCATACTAAAAACAAATGTGAGCATGTGAAAAATCAAAATACTAGGCTGAAGATGGGATTTTTATCACTTAATTTTATTTCATCAATACAAGAGAGTGTTACTTTTCTGTATTTTCAATCACATTTTCTTTGTCAATAAAATTCACTTAGTCTCTGAGAAAAGACACTTTTAAAATTAATTTGAAAATTTTAACTTAAATTTAAGAAACGTAGTTATAGGTATATAAAAATGAAGTTTACCGTATCATCAAAACTTGCAATATAAGCCCAATGACCAGGAAATGGATCATGGTTAGCATGGGTGCCCAGAATTGATGGAAGAGTAGGTATCATGACTGATTGTAAAGGAATGAGGATTTCACTAAATGTTGCTTCTTCTACCAGCTTTTTAAGCATTTTAAAATGAGTATTCATGCTCAATGTGGAACTATTTCCATCCACCTGGGGGAGGAAAATTGTACATTTTAATTTCTCTGTTTACCTTGAATTATAGAATCTCTAGTTTCACCCAAAATAAAATTTCATTCTATAGTATCTTAATTACAATAGCTCCACAGTCTATAGTTTTCTAAGTATTTTTTTCTTATCTTTATTTTTAAGTATTTTTAATACATCATCTTATTTTAACCACTCTGTATTCTTTTACCTAATCAACAACAGTAGGACTGTTAAATGACTAAAGGAGATAATAGAGGCTTATAATCCATTATCAGACATTACAAAATTCAAACAGCTCTGTAAATAAAACTGTTTTTTTTGTATTACATTTCCTTTGGCAGCAAAATAATACCAAAATTTTGCACTTAGTGCAAAAATTAATACATTCCACTACAAAAATAATTATATATCCAATTATGACACTCAATATAAAGTAATGCACTGTATTCCCTTTAAAAATCTGAAAGATTCTGAATTCCTAAATGTAGCTTGCCACAAAAGTTTCAGATAAAGAATTGGAATCTTATAAAAGTGTCAGTGTTTAAAAAACATTGGCCATTATCATCACAATGTTTTTGACAATGTCAAGTGCATCAGAAATCCAATAGAATTAATGCAAATAGAAAAACAGATTATTCTTTGAAGATGTTTATTGTTGAGGAAAGATGAGAGATAAGATAACCTTGTATTTCCTCACCTATAAACAATTAATAGTGAATATTTGTAAAGAGAAATATAGTTATTAACTATATAAAGGTGTCTCTCTCACTTCTGATAACTAGCCATACACCCACCTTTGACTTTCCTACACATTCTTTAGGATTTTTTCCCCTCCAATTCCTTAGGTACAAGAGTGGGTCAGTCCTATAAGCATGTCCAAATTCTACTCACAAATTTACTTTAAAAAAAAAGTAGTTATTAAACTGGATAATAACCATCTACTTAGTTTCCTATGAGACCATGAGCACTTCCAGACAGAAGAACATGTCTTATGCATCTTTGTTTGCCTCAACATGTTTGTCTCCTGGTAGGTAATAAAATGTGTACTGAAAGAATAAAAACCAAATCAAAAACTCCAATTTCTTTCCTTTCATGTAGGTTTATGTAATAAGTTTAAAAGTTTAAGAAGATACGACAGAAAACAACCACAGAGACAATTTGAATTCACTGCATATTTTACATGGCTTATCTCATATCTTCTATTTAAAAAAATTACTTTTCATAAACATGGATAATTTACTCTCAGAAGAATTTACATTAAGAACTTTTAGAAATTTGGAGGATGCTTGAAGAGAGGGACATGTTAGAAATTTTAAAATCAGCTTTATTAGGGTAGACTGCAGATTTAAAGCAAACAATTTGATGACTTCTGCTATCTGTGTATACAATATATGTTATAATTTTAACTTAATCAAATGAAAGAAACCAGCTAAAATCATCTAGAAGTTTTGTATAAATTATCCAACATTGGTCTACTCTATACAGTAGTAAGATTTATGACAATACCGGTTTATTGCACAATTCTAGAAGCTTATCTGTCAGACGAGTTGCATCTCCAACAAACTTTTCTAAAGATTTTTTCATATGAATGGCTTTATTTAGGATTTCCTTGCATCTGTTCACACGCATGGGATAAGAAGACTGTAAAAAAAAAAAAGTCAAGTGCAATTTTATACAAGATTTAAAAAAGATTAACAACAAAACTTTTAACAAAAATCAACTTCGAAAGTATTCATGATGTGATTATACTGACTCAAATTTTTTGGAAATCAATTTGGCAATATTATCAATAGTCATAAAAATGCTGCTATCCTATGACCTGATGAATTTACTTCTTAGAACCTACCCTGAAGAAGGAAACAGAAATGAGAATAAATGTTGATGTGTCTATATGTAATACAATAGCAAAAAAGTGTAAACAAACTTAATGATCAACAGTGAAAATACAGGTGGCTAACTACTACAGAATTCTATATAATAAAAGGCTAATAGGCAAATCAACCGAAGGGCAGAATGACCAGTCACATGATATGCACTGGCCACCAGGGGGCAGACGCTCAACACAGGAACTACCCTCTGGTAGTCAGTGCGCTCCCAAAGGGGGAGTGCCGCTCAGCCAGAAGCTGGGCTCATGGCTGGCGAGCGTAGAGGCAGTGGCGGGAGGAGCAGGCCTAAGCCATGAGTCAGACATCCCTCAAGGGTTCCCGGACTGCGAGGGTGTAGGCAGGGCTGAGGGACCCTCCCTCCCTCCAGTGCACAAATCTTGTGCACTGGGCCTCTAATACTACTACCGAATTTTATATAATTATTAAAATTATGTTTTTGAAGAATATTTAATTACATGAAAACAGACTTATGGTAACAATCTTAAGTGAAAATATGAAATTATGTATCTATGTAATCAAACTTAGAGCTAAAATATGCACATATAAAATTACATCAAAATATTAAAAGTGTAAATTTTTTCCTTTTTATATATCTGTATTATTTTTAAAATTCTCTGAAGTATTTATTAAACAAACACATTTACCACACTGTAAAGTTCTATTAATAATGCAAAAACATTTTTCTATCTAGTATTAACAGTTCTGGTACTTAGGATTAAACCACTTGGGAAAAAAATACGTTGTTTTTGTTTTTTAATATATTTTTATTTATTTCAGAGAGGAAGGGAGAGGGAGAGAGAGATTGAAACATCGATGATGAGAGAGAATCATTGATTGGCTGCCTCCTGCATGCCCCTTACCGGGGATCAAGCCTACAACGCAAGCATGTGCCCTTGACTGGAATCAAACCTGGGACCCTTTAATCCGCAGGCTGACACTCTATCCACTGAACCAAACTGGCTAAGGCGCTGTTTTTGTTTTATGTGTTTTTTTTTTTTTTTAACCTTCACCTGAGGATATGCTTTTGATTGATTTTAGAGAGAGAGAAAGGGAAACATTGATGTGAGAGAGAAGCATCAACTGGTTGCCCCAGACATGCGCCTGACTAGGGATAGAACCTGCAACTTAGGTATGTGCCCTGACCAGAAATTAAACCTGCAACCTTTTGGTGTACAGATAACGCTCCAACTGATTAAGCTACCTGCCTAGGACATGTTGCTACTTTATACCAAGCACTAACAACTTATATACCTTATAGAAAGCATGCTGAATTCTTTGATCTTAAACCTACTAGTCAATTCATTTGGTATGGTAGATATTTCCAAAGTTTTAAATGAAACATTATGCTATAATTTGTTTTTTAAATATTTATGTTTACTATAAATCTAATATAAAAGAGAAACCCTGGTACTCACACCTACATATTAGCATTAAATAATTAATGCCATATAAGAAGGGGAAAAACCCAATGTTGTGATTAACATATTACCTTTGAGACAGCTGTCATCATCCACATTGCTTGCTGAGGATAGGCCAGAAAGACTTTAGCTATAATTTCCATCAAGACAACAAAAACTTCATCATGAGAATGACAAATTCGAGAGATCAACTGTGAAAAAGCAGTTAAAAACTGATATGGAGCTAATTGACTTGTGTGTTCTGTGATAACTTTATTTATTTTAGCTAAATCATTTCTCATTTGGACACGATCAGACCGGCCAGCTGGAAGAAAAATCAAAGTAAAAAAAATAGAAGTTAGAAAGAATAAAACAATATATCAGTTCATTTCACAGAAGAAAAATTTTGTTTTAAAAACAGCTTTAAGATATAAAGTAATCCCCTCTATCCACTGTTTTGCTTTCCACATTTTCAATTACCGGCACTCAACTGCTGTCTGAAAATATTAAATGGAAAATTCCAGAAATAAACAATTCTTAAGTTTTAAGTTGCACAATATTCTGAGTAACATGATGAAATCTCATTCCATCCCTACTCTGTCCTCCTTAGGACATGATTCATCCTTTTGTCCAGTGTCTTCATGCTGTACATGCTAGTCACTTAGGTCTCTCACTTATTAGATCAACTATTAACATATTACAGTGCTTGTATTCCGATAACCCTCATTTTAATTTAATAATGGCCCTAAAGCACAGGAGTAATGACCCTGGCAATTCCTATATGCCAAAGAGAAGCCCTAACATGCTTTATTTAAGTCAAAAGGTAAAAGTTCTCAACCATCTGGAAAGGGAAAAAAATCATATGCTGGGTTTGCTAACATCTACTAATATAGTAAGAAGACTCTTCTATCCATGAAGTTTTGAAGAAGGAAAAAGTGCTTTGTTAAGACAGAAAATGTATTAAATTTGTGGATGGAAGACATGCACAGAAAACCTGTTTCGACTGAGAGTAACGTGTTGCACCAGCAAGCAATGAGCCCATACAAAGACTTCAGCAAGAGAACTCCTGAAATGAGTGACACCAAGCCATTTACTTCAAATAAGGGATTGGTTACACAGATTTAGGAATAGATTTGGACTGAAAAATATAAAAATTACGGCAGAGGCTACATTTGCCAATGAAGAAGCTGCTGCCACATTTCCAACAGAGTTGAAGAACTTGATTAGGGTTTGGTACTACCAATGGTTTCAGACATCCACTGGGGTCTAGGAATGTTTCACCCATGGAAAAAGAGGGACTACTGTATGCTATTCTCATGTACAAAACCAGGTCATGTGCCAATTTATGAAAATATAGTTTTCTCTGTCCATGTAGGAAAAAATATTTAGGGCCATTGAAAAATTTAAGGGCTTTTAATTTTCACTAGAAACAAACAAAACAAGTCACAATCCATTGTAATTTTTATGGTAAATTATTTGGCTTACACTAATATTTTTCAGTATCTGTTAGCTTCATCAAAGAGTAAGCAGATTTTCAATTGCAGGTCCTGAACTGCAACTACTTAAAAAGTCTATGTTTAGGTATTCAAAAAGTAAAACAAACCAACAAAACAGAAACAGAAACAGATTCATAAATATAGACAACAAACTGATAGTTGCCAGTGGGGAGGAAAGTCAGGGGAAGGGTGAAAAAGGTGAAGGAGAATAAGAGGTACAAATTTAAAAAATAAGTCTAGGGCCCTGGCCGGTTTGGCTCAGTGGATGGAGGGTCAGCCTGAGGACTGGGGGATCCCAGGTTCGATTCCGGTCAGGGGCATGTACCTTGGTTGCGGGCACGTCCCCGGTGGGGGGTGTGCAGGAGGCAGCTGATCAATGTTATAACTCTCTATCCCTCTCCCTTTCTCTCTGTAAAAACTCAATAATATATATTTTTAAAAAAATAAATAAGTCTAGGGCAGTGGTTGGCAAACTGCGGCTCGAGAGCCACATGCGGCTCTTTGGCCCCTTGAGTGTGGCTCTTCCACAAAATACCACATGCAGGCGCACATGTACAGTGCGAGTGAAACTTCGTGGCCCATGCGCAGAAGTCGGTATTTTGTGGAAGAGCCACACTCAAGGGGCCAAAGAGCCGCATGTGGTTAGTGAGCCGCAGTTTGCCGACCACTGGTCTAGGGGATGTAATGTACAGAATAGAGAATGTATTCAATAATCCTATTTAATAAAAAGCTAATATGCAAATGGTTATCACGCTCTCACACGTTAATGGTTCAGACACTCAACACTGGGGAGAGAGGAATGGGGACCAGCCAGGCACAAATGAGCTCACAAGAGAGGAATGGAGACCAGCCAGGCACAAATGAGCTCGCAAGAGAGGAATGGGGACTAGCCAGGCACAAATGAGCTCATGAGAAAGGAATGGGGACCAGCCAGGCTACGGCCCAGCAGAGGGACAAGCCGCCCGCCCCATGGTCCCGGGAGCCAGTGGCTGCACCTGAAGCCCTGGAGAGGGACAAGCCACCTGCCCTGTGGTCCTGAGTGTCTGCGGCCCGGGCTAAGCTGCCCGTCCACGGTCCCCTGCGGCCGGCCAGAGGGAGGGAAGCCCAGGTCCAGGGTGCCTGCAACCAATTGGAGGAGGCAATCCTGGATTGCTAGAGGCAGTTGGACATCCCCCGAGGGGTCCCAGATTGGAGAGGGTGCAGGGCGGGCTGAGGAACCCCTCCCTTTCCCATGCATGAATTTCATGCACTGGGCCTCTAGTATTATAGTAATTTCATACAGTGACAGATGGGTACCAGACTAATCATGGCGATCGCTTTGTTAGGTATATAAATGTTGACTAACTATGTTGTACAACTGAAACTAATAGAATATTGAAAGTTTACCCTATTTTAATTTAAAAAGTCTATGTTTAGTTTTTCCCCCTTTAAAATTTTTTAAAATTGATTTTGAGAGAAAGAGAGAGAGAGAGGGGGAGGAAAGGAGACGGAAAGAAACATCTGTGTAAGAGTGAAACATCAATTGGCCACCTCCTGCATGTCCCCCCACCAGGGATATAGCGTGCAACCCAGGCATGTGCCCTGACCTGGAATCAAATTAGCAATCCATTGGTGCACATGCATGGGATGACACCCAACCAATTGAGCCACATGGGCCAGGGCAGTCTTTCTCGTTTTTAACATTTACTTTCTTGTTCACACGTATCCTATATAATAACAGCTCAGCAACCAAACGCCGAAGGACCAGACGACTGGTCAACCAGTCACTACGACACACACTGACCACCAGAGGGCAGACGCTCATGCTGGAGCTGCCCCCTAGTGGTCAGTGCGATACCACAGTGGGTGCAATGCTTGACCAACTGGGATGAGTGGCTCCTCCAGCTGTGAACCGCAGGCTGACGGGCAGGAACCTGGGCTATGATAATTGCCTCCTCACCCCAGGCTCCTCCTCCTCACTCCCAGCCGCCTCCTCCGGACGTCCATAGGCTGCGCAGCACCACCACAGGGCTTGCAGAGCTGACCCCAGAGGCTGAGAGGCGGGCTCATGGCTGCCATGGGACTGAGACCTACTCTGCCACCTCTCAGTACTATTGTCCCTGGGCCCGGCCTGAACCGGGTACCCTGGAGAGGCAAGTGCTCTGGCTGCAGGGAAGATGCCAGATCGGGGAGCAGCCGCTCAGAGGGCGGGTCCACAGCCACTTGGCTGACCAGGATGAGTGGCACTCCCACAGCTGGCCAATCCGTGCAGGCCACACCCCCACACCAGTGCAAGAATCCTGTGCACTGGGCCTATAGTATAAAATAATTTTAAAATTTATTTTTCAATTATAGCTAACTTTTGTAATTTATAAAATCTTAATTATCAAATTCATTCCTAGCTTTTATTAGGTTAAACTGTGAAGCCAAATCTGATTTTATACAAAAATAATTCTTGGTTCCTTAAAATTTTACATAAAAAATTATACCTTTTTCCCATTCATATGCCTTAGCACCAAAATCAAGCCATAGTGATAACATCCGTGGCATTGACTGATATATGAATTGATTTCCATATTGTAGAGATCTGCAATCATACAGAGAAGATATTATTAACAGTGTTCTTTGTTTATGTTATATAAATTAAAAATTAAAAATTTAAACTATTACTTGAGTAATATATAGCCTTCTGAACAAAAATTATAGTATCATTATTTCTTCCTAGTAGAGGTTATCTTTTAACTTCCTCTCTCTCCTTTTTTCCTACTATATTCCTCACTAAGCTCGATACTGCCTGTAACAAAATTAATATAAGTTATGACCTAGTCAAAATCCTGTCAATAATTCCTTCAAACTGTCCTTAGGATCTGTGCCTTCAATTGCACTCCATGCCCCAGGTCATGCCCAATCACTCAATTTCTGGGAAATTATAATAACTTAGTTTCCCTAATTCTACATTTCTTCCTTTCAATAAATTCCAGACGAATATTCTTTAAATTCTAGTTTTATCATGCTCTCCTCCTATTTATTATGACCACATGAACGACTCTATCTAGGATTCAAATATTCACAATCTTGTTTCTTTATAACTTTCCAATCATAGTCTCTTACTACTCACCAGCCTACATCTTCCATCAACTCCAATTTCCTCACAATCCTCTGAATAAACCATTCAAACCCTGTTTCTCTGCCAATCTGTAAAAAGTCAGTAATGTCCTCTCCTTCTTAAATGTAATTATCTTTCAAATCCTACCTTCTTCATGAGGCCTACCAGGTTTCTGTAGCAATGAAGTACAAATAGGTATGCTTTTTAAATCACAAAGCCAGGGGCTTGAGTTTTGACTTCAGATTTGCCCAAAATCTGGACTCATTTGATTCATTTTTGGTATCTTGATAATATAAAAAAGATATTTACACTATTTATTTGGATACCATTCTATTATACATCAATATTTAAATGTTTTACATGTTTAACGTTTCTCTATCTAATTAGATTGGAGTTCCCTGAGGGCAAATACTGATACTTAATTAGTAATAACACAGTAATTCAATCATTCAAAGGATATAAGTAAATCTCCATAACTGAGTATACTCCTCTAAGTATCCAAATGTTTTAGTGTAACTATGGATAAAATTTTATAAAATTGCCTTATTTTCTTAAACTATATTTATAGATATATCACACTATAGCTAACAGTGTTATGCACATCAAGGACTCTAAATAACTGTTTTAAAGAAAATGTATTAAGTAAATGTTATATACCAATACATATACTAATACTAGAGCAAATGAAAGCTATTACATACTTTAGAAAAGAAAAATATCCTCTGCTTATGCTTTAATTTTAAAATGCCAATATGCCAGAAATTCTGCCTCAATAACAAGCAATTAATAATCATTAATAAATAAAATTAAGTTTGGATTTTATAAAACTTGAATTCCATTGTGGGAAGGAAGGCTTGGAAAATATTATAATCCTTTCACTTATAAACAAATATTGCTTTGATTCCTGAAAATATTGAACTGAGAAGTCCAAATACCTAGTACTAGCAACTTTAAATAGATTTATTGCTCTGAAGTAAGTTACCCTTCAATGTAAAGCAATGCTAATGAGCAAGATGAAAAGAATGAGTGGAATGTCATTATTACTTGTTAGGAATTAATAATTTGTGACTATTTAAACAGTAGTCGTGAGATAATACACCATTTGGCTACAATTTGCTAATAGATGAAATTAAGTTATATTTCATCTGGTATCTAGCTTAAGAGATAAGTTCTTTTTACAAGTTTGATGTCAAAATCATTTTTGTATAGATATTACTTCTTAAATAGGCTAGAAGATTCCACTGGCAATTAAATACAACCATTAAATATGTCAGATTTAGGGTCTTCTGGCATTCTAGGAAGGGGGACTCAGGGAATAAGGGTCTGAAATGGGAAGGACATGTAATTTTCATTGTATATACTTGGTACTATAAAATGTTTTTAAAATATGCATGCCTTATTCCATTAAAATAGTTTTTTTTGTTGATGTTTTGTTTTTTTGTTAATCCTCACCCAAGGATTTTTTCCCCCTTGATTTTTAGAGAGAACGGAAGGGAATGGGAGAGAAACATCGACGTGAGAGAGACACATCGACTGTTGCTGCCCACATGCTCCCTGGCCGGGGTTAGGGACCAAGCCTGCAACTGAGGTATGAGCCCTTAATCAGACTCAAACCCACAATCCTTCAGTGTATGGGCCAATGCTCTTAACCACTGAACCAAACTGGTTAGGGATAAAATTGGTTTTTTTAAGGAAAGAAAAAAAATTAACATCTCATCTAATGTGATAGGTTGAATCAGTGGTAAAGCAGAAAACATCCTGAATATGCTAAGATCTGTGATAACAATTCAATGTCAATAGTCACGCCGAAACCGGTTTGGCTCAGTGGATAGAGCGTCGGTCTGCGGACTGAGGGGTCCCAGGTTCGATTCCGGTCAAGGGCATGTACCTTGGTTGTGGGCACATCCCCAGTGGGGAGTGTGCAGGAGGCAGCCGATCCATGTTTCTAACTCTCTATCTCTCTCCCTTCCTCTCTGTAAAAAATCAATAAAATATACTTAAAAAAATATATAGTCACCTAGACATATATAATCAGCAAACTCGCAGTTCTCACACTTACCTTCCGAAATGAAGCACAATATACCGAATGAGATCACCCTGCTTTTCCATTTTGTTATCTGTGACCATGGGCATCAATTTGTCATAATACTTGGCAAGGTAAAAGTGCCCATCCTCCCACTCTGGCAGGAACAAGGTCACATCCTGGAAAACAGAACACAGGATACTCTCCTCAGAAAACCCCACACTATACTAGAAAGTAAAATATAAATAGATAATTAGAGGTAAAGAAAGACACTACATAATGATAAAGAGAGCAATCCAAAAAGAGGATATAACCCTTGCAAACATTTATGCACCCAACATAGGAGCACCTAAATATGTAAAGCAAACCTTGAGGGACATAAAGGGAGAAGCTGACAGTAATACAATTATAATAGAGGATCTTAACACCCCACTGACATCAATGGATAGATCTTCCAGACAGAAAATCAACAAGGAAACTGTGGCCATAAATGACACACTACATCAAATTGATTCGATTGATATTCTCAGAGCATTTCACCCCAAAGCAGCAGAATATACATTCTTGTAAAGTGCCCATGAAACATTTTCGAGGATAGACCACATATTAGGACACAAAACAAGTCTATATAAATTTAACATGAATGAAATCATATCAAGCATCTTCTGTGACCATAATTTATAAAACTTAAAATCAATCACAAGAAGAAAAATGAAAAACAAACAAATACATGGATGCTAACTAACATGTTGCTAAACAATGAATGGCTTAACAATGAGATCAAGAAATAAGTCAAAAGATACCTTGAAACAGCTGAAAATGAGAACACAAGAACCCAAAATCTGAGGGACGCAGGGAAAGCAGCCCTTTGAGGGAAATTCATTAACATTATAGGCCTACTTCAAGAAACAAGAAAAATCTCAAATAAATAATCTAATTTTCCAGTAAAAGGAACTTGAAAAAGAACAAGAAACAAAGCCCAAAGTGAGTAGAAGGAAATAATAAAGATCAGAGCAGAAATAAATGAAATAGAGTCTAAAAAAAAAACCCCAATACAGATATAAATAAAATCAAAAGCTCATTCTTTGAAAAGATACAGAAGATTGACAAACGTTTAACCAGACACCGATTCATTAAGAAACAAAGAGAGCAGACCCAAACAAATAAAACAAGAAGTGAAAGAGAAGCATTAACTGACACCAAAGAAATATAAAATATTGTAAAAAAATTATTACGAACAACTATATGCCAATAATTTGGATAATGTGGACAAAATGGGTACATTCCTAAAAACATATAATCTTCCAAAACTAAATTAGGTTGTATCGGAGAATCTCACTAGACAGATTAAAACTAGTGAAATAGAAGCAGTATTTTTAAAAGGCCCAAAAAACAATAGCCCTGGACATAATGGTTTTAACAGGTGAATTTTACCAAACATTCAAAAAACTAACACCAATCCTTCTCAAACTATTTCAAAAATTAAAAAGGACAAAAGACCCCCCAAGCTCATTTTACAAGGCCAAAATTATCCTAATTTCAAAACCAGATGAAGACACAACAAAGAAAGAAAATCATAGGCTAACTAAAGGCCCGGTGTATGAAATTCATGCATGGGGGCGTGGGGGACTCCTCAGACCAGCCTGCACCCTCTCCAATCTGGGACCCCTCGGGGGATGTCCAACTGCCCCCAGGGATCGGGCCTAAACCTGGAGTCAGACATCCCTCTCACAATCCGGGACCACTGGCTCCTAACTGCTCACCTACCTGCCTACCTGATCGCCCCTAAACACCTGTGCCTGCTGGCCTGATTGCCCCTAACTGCCCCAGCTGCTGGTCAAGAAACCCCCAACTGCCCCCACCCCCAGCCTGGTCACCCCCAACTTCCCCCATCTGCCGGCCTGGTCACCCTTAACTCCCCACCACCACTGGCCTGGTCGCCCCTTACTGCTCCTCTGCCAGCCTGGTTGTCCCATTCAGCCAGCTGTTCAGTCGTTTGGTCGTCCCTAACTAACCCCCCTCTTGACCTGGTCGCCCCACGCAGCCGGCTGTTTGGTCGTTTGGTCATCCCTCACTAACCCTCTGCCGGCCCTGTTTGGTCGTTACTGATACTGTTCTGAACAATATGCATATTTCTCAATTATTAGTATAGACCAGAAACCCGGTGCATGAAAATTCATGCACTGGAGAAGGGGTCCCTCAGCCCGGCCAGGCCGCTCTCACAGTCCAGGAGCCCTCAGGGGTGGGAGGCAACCTGGTGATCAGGGGAAGGTGACACCCCATCACACCTCTACTGCTGCCACTGTCAGCAGCGCAAGCATCAGCCGGCCCTGGTTACCTGAGCCTCGGGCGGCCCTGGGCGGCTGGGGAGCTGAGGGACTAGGGGAATCCAGAGGCAGGATCATGGCAAGGATGGGCCCACCCCCAGGAGGGGCTGAGGGGGCTGGGCACCACCATCTTGTGGCTGTGGGCACATCTATCTTTGAGGGCATGGCAGTCAATTAGCATATTCCCTCCTTATTGGCTGTGGGCACTGCCATCTTTGAGGGTGGGGCAGTCAATTTGCATATTCCCTCCTTATTGGCTGTGGGCACCGCCATTTTTGAGGGCGGGCAGTCAATTAGCATATTCCCTCCTTATTGGCTGTGGGCGCCGCCACCTTTGAGGGGGTGGCAGTCAATTAGAATATTGCCTCCATATTGGCTATGGGTGCTGCCATCTTTATGACATCAGGGTCAATCAGCATATTCCCTCTATTAGATAGGATACCCCTGATGAATATGGATGATATAATTCTCAACAAAATATTAGCAAACCAAATTCAGGGATACATTAAAAAGATCATATAGCATGATCAACTGGGATTTATTCCAAAGATGCAAGGTTGGTGTAATATCCACAAATCAATAAATGTGATACACCATATAAACAAAATTAAGAATAAAAAGCATGTGACCATATCAATACATGCAGAAAAGGCATTTGATAAAATCCAGCCCCCATGTATGATATAAACTGTCAGCAAAGTGGGAATAGAGGGAACATACTTCAACATAATAAAGGCTATATGTAACAAACCCAGAGCCTATATCATATTCAATGGGCAAAATTATAAGTGTTCCCCTTAAGACTGAGAAGACAGGGATGACCATTTTCACTACTATTATTCAATATAGTACTGGAGGTCTAGCCACTGCAATCAGAAAAGAACAAATAAAAGGCTCCACATTGTAAAGGAAGAGGTAAAACTGTCATATGCAGGTGACATGATACTGTAAATAGAGAATCCTAAAGATTCCACCAAAAAAACTACTTGAACTGATCACTGAATTCAGTAAAATAGCAGGATACAAAATAAACATCCGGGAATCAGTAGCATTTTAAAGAAGTTTTGTGTTGTTTTTTTTAAATTGATTTTTAGAGAGAGGAAGGGAGAGGGATAAAAAGATAGAAACTTTGATGAGACAGGAACATCATCAATTGGTTGCCTCCTGCATGCCCTACACTGGGGATTGAGCCTGCAACCTGGGCATGTGCCCTGACCAGGAATGGAAATGATGATGTCTCGGTTCCTGGGTCAACGCTCAACTGATGAGTCACGCCAGTCAGGCCAGTAGCATTTTTATACACCAATAATGAACTCTCAAGAGAACAAAACGAAAGAAAGGAAAGAAAAAAAAGAAAGGAAAGAAAGGAAGAGAGAAAAAGAGAGAGAGAGAGAGAGAGAGAGAGAGAGAAAGGAAGGGAGAAAGAAAGTAAGAATCCCTTTCACAACTGCTCCAAAAAGAATGAAATACCTAGGAATATATTTAACCAAGGATATAAAAGACCTGTACTCAGAAAATTGTAAAACATTGAAGAAAGAAACTGAAGAAGATACAAATAAATGGAATCATATAACATGTCCATGGATAGGAAAAATTAATATCATTTAAAAAGGCCATACTACACAAACAAATCTACAGATTCAACACAATGCCTACCAAGATACCAATAGTGGCCCTAGCTGGTTTTGATCAGTGGATAGGGCGTCAGCCTGTTGACTGAAAGGCTTCCAGCCGGACCTGAGCTCTGCTCAAGGTTATAAAGTTTCAATTATAGAAGATAAATAAATCCCAGAAAAAAAAGAAAAAAGAAAAAAAGGAGAGGCTGGGAGCTTGGGTAGCCGGGGGGCGCAGCCAGCCTGAAAACAGCCATCAGCCCCTCACCCCAGCTGGCCAGGCACCCTAGCGGGACTCCCACCCTGAAGGGGGTGTGGGCAGTCTGAAAACAGCCCTCAGCACCTCACCCAGGCTGGCCAGGCACCCCAGCAGGACTCCCCACCCTGAAGGGGCTGTAGGTAGCCTGAAAACGGCCCTCAGCCCCTCACACAGGCTGGCCAGGCACCCCAGCGGGACCCCCACCCTGATCCGGGACACCCTTCAGGGGAAACCAGCCGGCCCCCAACCATGCACCAGGCCTCTATCCTATATAATAGAGGGGAATATGCAAATTGACCCTAACAGCAGAACGACTGGGAATGACTGGTCACTGTGACACACACTCACCACCATGGGGGAGACGCTCAATGCAGGAGCTGCCCCCTGGTGGTCAGTGTGCTCCCACAGGGGGAGCTCTGCTCAGCCACAAGCCAGGCTGACGGCTGCCAGCACAGCGGTGTCCGACTGAAGCTTAGACCTGGTCCCCACTGGCTAGTAGACATCCCCCGAGGGCTCCTGGGCTGCCACAGGGATGTCTGACTGCCAGCTTAGGCCTGATCCCCTGGGGACATCCCCCGAGGGGTCCCAGAATGCGAGAGGGCACAGGCCAGGCTGAGGGACCCCCCGAGTGCACAAATTTTTGTGCACCAGGCCTCTAGTCTATAAAATAAAAGCCTGAGCGACCGTTACAGCACAACAACCAGAAAGACCGGTCGCTATGATGAGCACTGACCACCAGGGGGCAGACCCTCAACGCAGGAGCTTCCCCCTGGTGGTCTGTGTGCTCCCACAGGGGGAGTGTTACTAAGCCAGAAGCCAGGCTCATGCCTGGCAAGCACAGCAGCAGTGGTGGGAGCCTCTCCTGCCTGTGCGGCAGCGCTAAGGAGCAGCAACCAAGCAGTAAGGAGCAGCAAGCAGTAAGGAGCAAAAGGTCCCAGACTGTGAGAGGGCATAGGGCGGGATGAGAAACCTTCCCGCCCCTCCCCCCAGTGCACAGATTTTTGTGCAATGCGCCTCTAGTACATTTATAATAAGTTTTAACGCATACACTAATTTTTCTCAGTTTGCCCTCCAGATATACTTATCACACTTTACCTTTTTCTATCCTGTGTCTCAAAAGATTGACACTGATAATTTACATCAAAGGGTCTATGTGCCCTCCAAATATTGTTCTTCTTTTTTTAAAAAAAAATATATTTTATTGATTTTTTACAGAGAGGAAGGGAGAGGAATAGAGAATTAGAAACATCAATGAGAGAGAAACATCGATCAGCTGCCTCCTGCACACTCCCCACTGGGGATGTGCCCACAACCAAGGTACATGCCCTTGACTGGAATTGAACCTGGGACTGTTGAGCCCGCAGGCCGATGCTCTATCCACTGAGCCAAACCGGTTAGGGCAATATTGTTGTTCTTATAGTGTCCCCATAATTGTTCTTTCCTCAGCAGCTGCTTCCAGCTGGGCCTCATAGAGTTTTGAGTTATGTATGTACACCATGGCCCTTAATCAAAGATTCAGGTGGCTACCTATACAGATCTATAACTTTTTGTCTGTTTAACTTCTCTTTCTCAGGTAATCTGCCTCACAAATTATAGCCACTGTCTCTTACTTTATTATTTCCTAACTTCTACATTCTTTGTTTTTTTAAAAAATTTTTGTTCCCTTTTCTAACACTTTGAGGTGGATACTTAAGGCTCATTAATTGTGAGCCTTTATTTTCTTTTACTACATGTAAATAACATTTTAAATTCCCTTGAAGAATGGCTTTAGCTGCCTGGCCAGTGTGCTCAATGGTTGAGCATTGACCCATGAACCAGGAGGTCACAACTCGATTCTTGGTCAGGGCACACACCTGGAGTTGTAGGCTCAATCCCCAGTAGGGGGCGTGCAGGAGGCAGCCGATCAATAATTCTCTCTCAACATTGATGTTTCTATCTCTTTCTCTCCCTCATCTCCCTTCCTCTCTGAAATCAATAAAATATGTATTTTAATAAAAAAGAATGGCTTTAGCTGCATCACATGTCATATTTTTATTATCATTCAGTTCAAAGTATTTTTCAATTCTCACTGCAATTTGTTCTCTGACCTATGGGTTACTGAGAAGTATCTGTCTTATAACACCATCTACGTACCTAGTAAATCTTAATAACTACTCGTAAGGAAGGTATATATTGTGTTTGTTCAAAAATATTCAGGCTAGGGTAGCTAACTTTGGGGAACGAGGGTGAAAGAGTGGATTGTGAAGTGCTAATAATATTCTACTTCTTAATCTGGGTGATGGTTTCATGAGTGTATTTACTTTGTAATAGTTCCTCCAGCTATATACTTATGCTATATATGCACTAAAAGTCAAACAGGTTTCCTGGCTATTTTTTAAAATTATATTTTTTATTGCCTTTAGAGAGAGAGAAAGGGACAGGGAAAGAGAGAAAAAAATCAATGTGAGAAACACTGATTGAATGCCTTCTGCACACCTCCTACTGGGGATCTAGCTGGCAACTCTGGCATGTGCCTTTATCTATAAGAGAACTGGTGACCTTTTGTTTCATGGGACAATGATAAACCAACTGAGCCACACTGGCCAGGGCTCTTGGCTATTTTTATACATGTATTCTTCCATCTGGACTTTAAAATAATTTGATCCATTTTCAAAAACAAAACAAAAGAATGAGTTTCTTATTTAAATTGTATTATAACTATACCTGCCTTATATTTTTTCATAACTGCATTGCTTTCAAAGTTAGCTGTTTCTTCCATAAATCGACCTACTAGCAGCATAGCTCGACCATGGATTAACATGTCCTTACTCTCAGTTGGAGTTTTATTTTCAGGGAAACATAATTCAACACCCTTCTGAAGAACAATTAGTGCCTGGTGAACATCACCCTAAAAGAAAAAAGGCAACAACAAATCTTTTAATTTAAGAACGTATTTCCATTTTTTGAAAAACAAATACAATTGTTAGGATTTAAAGTTCATTAGATATTTTATGTGTAGGTCCATCTGAGTTTCATGTTCAGCTCTTATTTCCATCCTATAAAAGTAAAATCCTAAAAAGGTAACATTGCTTCATTTCGTGTAAAATTCATAATCATATACTCATTCATTTTAGTCGATCAAAGTGCTGGGAACTGAAAATAAGTCTATATGACTGGGGATAAACAATGAATAAACCCAAATCTCTGGCTTAAAAAAGTTCACAGTCAAGTGAAGAAATAGACTATGTACCCAAAATAACAACCCAATGTGTTAAGTACTATTAACAGAGGAATATACATAGACATAATGGGGTAAAGTAAAGGGAGTCCTCTAAATATACCTGAAAATACAGGAAAATGGAAAAGAGCATCAGTCAGGAAAGGTTACCAAATAAGGAAGATCTGAATTAGGTCTTAAATAATGAGTATGAATTTTCCCTGCAGAGAATTCAGTAAAAACCATTCTTGGTAGAAGGAAAAATAATTTTAATTGGTAGAAAAGTGCGTAGTCTGGTTTTAGCTGAAGCCTAAAGGGTTTGTTACTGAAACTGAAGAGGCAGACTGGAACTCAATCACAAAGGGCCTTTTGTACTTTCTAGAATTCAGACTTAATGCTAAAGGCATACAGAATACTTTGAAGGATTTTAATCAGTGGAGCAACATGATTCAACATGAATTTTAGAAACATCAGATTGCAGTAATGTATATTAGAGAAAAGGTGAGACTGCCAAAAAGGCTATTAACATTGTTATAGGTTACAAATGGAATGAATAAAAGCAGCAGAGACAAATAAGAGGGAGATAATTTAAAAGACATTTCTAAGGTAGATTTAGTGTCCAACTGGATGTGAAAAGTGAGGGAGGGTAGGAGGGTCAAGATGATGCCCTGATATCTTGGATGAGAGAATGTAAGAGTCCTACCTAGAAAAATAGGGAAAATGGGAGAAGAAATGGCACTGAATTATTAGATGATGAACTGCATTTTTAACATATCGTGTTTAAGGTATTACAACTTATAGAATTATACTAGCTCAGAAAATGATCAGGCACTAACCAATGCAGCCTGAATTATTACTTTCACTTCCCGTCCGTCCAGGAAACATCTTCCCTCCTGTCGTTTCTCAGCCACCATGAAGTTGGTCCAGCCACAGGTGGTACCAACTATAATTGGTAAATGTCAACTTCAGAACGTGCTATACCTACTGCTAATACTAAACTGGTGGCAAACATGAGGAGATCTATAAATAACAACCTTTTAAATATTGGGCATAAGCTTTGCAAGTTAAGATATTTAAAAAGCCTTTTTCACATTACTGTAGCTTTAATCTGACTATTGGAGACTTTGTGCTGAAGCTAAGCCCTTCCTAACAAGCTAGATTAATTGGAAGTGAATCTTGACGGTAAGTACTGACAAGTCCACACAAAACTAATTATCTGCCAAGGATGTGAATAAGGACAATGCTGTGTTCATTTAACAAATATTTTTTGATATCTTACTACTTACACTCTTTATACATATAGGAGGTTAAAACAAAGTAAAATTGGTCACGTCCCTCAAGAAAATAATGAAAAACATGTGAAAACTGAAAGAACTACACTTAAGTCTTGAAATGGAAAACTATTTGGGGTCTTCAGGATAGAAAGAATAGTTCCTTCCCAATCATGGTAGGTAATGATGAAAAAAGGTGACAGAAAAAGAGGGTTCTCAATTGAGATTACACACTGTCTGTCACTCAGGCCTTTAGAAAAAGTACATAATCTGCAAAATACATATATATATGATGATATTCCCTTGGTGTTACCTTGGACCACAGCCACTTTGCTCTTTCCACATACAGTTCAGCAAGTCGTGATTCTCCAGCATTGAGCAGAGCATTGTAGGCTGTCTGGTGGTGACCAGCCTTTCTAGCTACTCTGGCACTCTGTAGCCAGCATTCTCCAACCATTTCATTGTAATCTTGTCTAAAGAAATGTGACAGAACAGGAGGAAAAGAGCATTTTTAAGTGTATTCAATGACAATTAAAATACCTCTTTCTAACATGGAACATTCTTAATACACTATTTCAAAGAAATCAAAGATTTGCTAAAAAATAATACTTTTAATTTTCTTAAAGTACTCCATTTTTATCAATAAGTCTATGAAGACCTATTAATGACCCATATCTGTACCTCCCCCTGGTAAGTTTTTTTTAACATTAAAAAAAAGATATATTGCATGTACATGTAATTCTTAAGTTTCAACTATGTAGAGTAGCACTGACAATTAAAACCAAAAAAAATAGAGATTCAGAGAGAAAATTAGGAAAGCTATATACCCCCAAGTAATATGCAAATACAATACTAAATTCACAATAATTGACATTTTAAAACAAAGTGTGGAAAAACCTTTTGTTGAGGCTTAATAAAGCTCTCCGAAGAGCCAGAATGGGTTCCTTGGCTCTATAGGAATTCTGGGTCATTTCTAGTCGAGCTACCCAGTTTAGAGAATCTTCTTGAGAATTATCACCTAGAGACTCATGGAAAAGTGGTTTGATGCTATGCTCCAACTCACACAACATGTGTAATCTAGAGACAAATAGAGGCAATGTTAAAATAATATAATCTTCATTCTTATTAATCTCATATATAATACATGTATATTAAATTAGCCATGAAAATCTAAAATGTGCAGTTTTCTTTGGAAGAACTTTAACCAATACATATTCTTAGTAAATATAAACAGTAACATCTTTTCATATTGGGTATAGTATGATGTTGATTTAAATATTTAGCCCAGCTCGATCCCCAGTGTGGGGCATTCAGGAACCAGCCAATCAATGATTCTCTCATCACTGATATTTCTCTCTCTCTCTTCCTCTCCCTTCCTCTCTGAAATCAATAAATGTATATATATCTTTATTGTTCTTTCTTACCTCTATGTGTTTTATGTTTTATTGATGTTTACAGAGAGGAAGGGAGAGGGATAGAAAGTTAGAAACATTAATGTGAAAGAAACATTGATCAGCTGTCTCCTGCATGCCCCCTATTGGGAATCGAGCCCATAACCAAGGTATATGCCCTTGACCGGAATCAAACACAGGATCCTTCAGTCTGAGGGCCAACGCTCTATCCACTGAGCCAAACTGGTTAGGGCAATAAAGATATATTTTTAAACATACTTTAAAAAATTTAGTGCTTACTATGATACCCAAATTCTTATTAATTAAATTAGAGAATGATATATAAAACTAAATTCAAATGTATGAAAATAAAACTTTATCACCTTTATGAAGATAAAAGAAAATATGAATCCATTATATGTAAACATAAATATTTGCCCATAAGAGGACTTGGCATAGTAAATGCCAGCAAAAAATGAGAAATTATACAGTTGATTTTTTCCTAAGTGTAATGGAAGCACTCATACTTTCACAATAGCCTATGATTCAGTCAGTATTCAAGATACAACTACAGAACAGAAATAATTTTGGTGGTCCAATCTCTGCTTTCATTAAGCTGTTACCAAAGGGGCTTATAAAAAATATAGATTATTCTAACTGAAAAAAAAAAAGAAAAATTGCTTACTTATCTTTTTTATTATAGTTCAATTAAATCATGTTTAATTATTTTCTTCAGATGAACTAACAGGCCTAAAATGTTTTCCATCATTTCTTTCTTACCTCTATAAGTTAACATTCCTTTCTAGTAAAGTAATGCCTACATTTTTGGGGGGTGAAATGTCAAATGCCTTTCTAAATGAGAAGAAGGGAAGGGGACCAATAAGTAGTGAAGACCAATGTATCAAATACGGATGTCTAGATTACTTAGGTTAGTTGTATAAAAAATAAACTATGAATTACATCAGGACAAATATAAAATTTTTCTAGTTATTTTTTTAGAAGTCTCAAAATTGCCTTCCCAATTAATAGAATGTATGTTAAAATGTTTTTGAAAAACTACAAGATGGCTCTGGCTGGTATTGCTCAGTTGGTTGGAGCACCATCCCATAAACCAAAAGGTCAGAGGTTTGATTCCTGGCCAGGACACATGCTTAGGTTTTGGGTTCAAACCCTTGGCAGGGAAAGTGTAGGAAGCAACTGATTGATGTTTTTTTTTCTCTCCCTTCCTCCATGCCTCTGTCCCTCCCTCTCTAACCCTCTCTAAAAAAGTCAATGACCATGTCTTTGGGTGAAGATTAGGAAAAAAAAATAATAATAATCCTATATAATAAAAGAGAAACATCCAAATTATCCATCCTTCTGCTACACTGAAACCAGCCAATCAGAAGCAAGCATGCAAATTAACCCAACTAAGATGGTGGTGATCACAGAGCTGGAGGAAGCAGGAGGCTTGGGTTGCCCTCGGCGATAGAGGAAGCCAAGCTTCCCCCATGCCCTGACCTGCCTTGGGCTATGCTCAAGGCTACAAAGTTTCAATTATAAAAGATAAATAAATCCCAGATACTTGCTTCCAGCCAGCCGTGGCCACGGAGCTGGAGCAAGCAGGAGGCTTGGGTTGCCCTCAGCAATGGAGGAAGCCAAGCTTCCCACCTGCCCTGGCTGGGCCAGGGGGGGGAGGGGGGGGGGCGTGGCCAGCCTGAAAACGGCCATCAGCCCCTCACCCAGGCTAGGCAGGCACCCCAGCGGGACCCCACCACACTGAAGGGGCTATGAGCGGCCTGAAAACAGCCCTCAGCAGCCTGAAAACGGCCTTCACCCAGGCTGGCCACACCCCCATGGGGTGAAGGTCCCCAATGGGGGGGTTTGGCCAGCCTGCAAAAAGCATTAGGCCCTCATCCAGGCTGGCCAGGCACCGCAGTGGGGACCCCCACCCTGAAAGGGGTGTGGCCAGCCTGAAAACGACCCTCAGACCCTCACCCAGGCTGGCCAGGCACCTCAGAGGGACCCCCTCACCCTGAAGGGGGTCTGGCCAGTCTGAAAAGGGCCCTCAGCCCCTCACCTAGGCTGGCCAGGAACCCCAGAGGGACCCCCACCCTGACCCGGGACACACTTCATGGCAAACCAGCCAGCCCCCACCCATGCACCAGGCCTCTATCCTATATAATGAAAGGGTAATATGCAAATTGACCCTAACAGCCGAATGACTGGAAATGACTGGTCACTGTGACACACACTCACCACCAGGGGGCAGACGCTCAATGCAGGAGCTGCCCCCTGCTGGTCAGTGTGCTCCCACAGGGGGAGCTCTGCTCTGCCACAAGCCAGGCTGACGGCTGCCAGCACAGCAGTGGCAGCGGGAGCCTCTCCCGCCTCCTCAGCAGCGCTAAGGATGTCCGACTGCAGCTAAGCCTGCTCCCCGCTGGCAAGTGAACATCCCCTGAGGGCTCCCGGGCTGCCAGATGGATGTCTGACTGCCAGCTTAGGCCTGATCCCCTGGGGAGTGGGCCTAAGCCAGCAGGTGGACATCCCCTGAGGGGTCCCAGACTGTCAGAGGGCACAGGCCAGGCTGTGGGAACCCCTCGAGTGCACAAATTTTTGTGCACCGGGCCTCTAGTAAATGAATAAAAAGGGAAAAAGATAGAGTGATTGTGAGTTAAAGAATGAAAAAGCTATTTTGTTTAGCTATGCATGATAATAAACATAATATCAGTTATTTACTAATCAAAGCATTCTAAGCCTATCAGATGATACTTATAGACCAGAAATATAAATATGGGAACTTTGAAATACCTGACAATATACTCATATCCTCGTTGGTAAGAGCCTCTTTCAAAGCTTGCAGCTGAAAGAGGTACAATTTGTTCGGCTCTCACTAGTTTCAATGTATCATAAAAAGCTGTGGTATCTCTTTTTTTGACTGATAATAATAGCTGCCCCAGTCTGACACTCCATGTGGTAGATTTCCCATCTGAAAAACACATAAAGAGTTAAGTAATGAGAGCTGGGTCTATGAACAAGTTTTATTTCATTTGGTAAAATTGTCAGAAGAAATACTGAACCGATGATTTCATTTTGACAACTAAACAAAGCAATCACAAAACAAGTTGAGAGATTAATTATGACTATTTCTTAGACACTTAGTCTATTTATGGCATCTTAAAACAACTTATATTTTAAGAAGTAATTTTACCTGCTGCCAAATAATTTTCCACCAAATCCCACTGTGATAACTTCCAAGCTGCTTCCACTCTGTATGTGTTTAATTCGTCTGTCCATTCAGACCTATTAAAAGAAACGATATTAAGCTTTAATTTATTTCAATGTAAAGTGGCATTTAAAGATTATTTTTATTAGTTTAGATACTCTATATACTGCATTTATTTATTGTTCTATTTATTGTATTTGCACTGTATTGTATTTTGTATTTAGATACAAAATAATTGTCTATCAAAAAGTATCTCCCAAATTTTAATCTTCCCATTTTCTGAAAACATTTCTTCAATAATTACTTTTGATAGGGCCATTTAAAAATGCCATTCTCTGTCCTGGCCAATGTGGCTCAGCTGGCTAAGCATCATCCCATGCACTGAAATATCACTGGTGCGATTCCCGGTCAAGGCACATGCCCGGTTGTGGGTTCAGTTCCCAGTTGTGGTGCATACAGGAGGCAACCAATCACTGTTTCTCTCTCTCCCTCTCTCTCTCAAATTAATAAAGCCATATTTTTAAAAATGCCATTTTGTGATGAATTGAGTCAAGCCATATAATAGAACAGAATTAGTACCTGGATAATTACAAAATGTATTTGTAAGGTTAGCTCTGTGCTTCACTTGAACAAAGGGAAAGGAGGAATAAAAGCCAAATGAACATCCATGCATTCAGAGGTAATCAATTCCAATAACCTGGGATTATGAGTGAAATTTAAGATAAAATTATAGGAGATGGTGCAATTGGTCAGGAGCAAGTGGGGAGTACATAGGACATCATATTAGGGCATAAGAAAGTGACAAATGATGTGTCAATGGAATAACAAAGGATATAAAAGTAGCTAACTAAAATATATACCTATTCTTTTTTAAAATATATTTTTATTGACTTCAGAGAGGAAGGCAGAGGGAGAGAGAGATAGAAACATCAATGATAAGAGAGAATCATTGGCCGTAACCGGTTTGGCTCAGTGGATAGAGCGTCGGCCTGCGGACTGAAAGGTCCCAGGTTCAATTCCGGTCAAGGGCATGTACCTTGGTTGCGGACACATCCCCAGTAGGGGACGTGCAGGAGGCAGCTGATCGATGTTTCTCATCGATGTTTCTAACTCTTTATCTCTCTCCCTTCTTCTCTGTAAAAAAATCAATAAAATATATTTAAAAAAAAAAAAAAAAGAATCATTGATTGGCTGCCTCCTGCACGCCCCCTACTGGGGATCAAGCCCACAACCCAGGCATGTGCCCTGAGGAATCAAATGGTAATGTCCCGGTTCACAGGTCGATGCTCAACCACTGAGACACCCGGTCGGGCTATACCTATTCTTAAACTATTTCAGTAACTTCAAAATGTGAGCTTATAAAACCAGTATAATATAGGTACTCATTTTTTATAAGTATTCTACTTAAGTGACACTAAGATAACTAGTGATATTTTAGATCATGACTATATAAAAGAAGCTAGACTTTTGCCATGTTTTTTTTTATTAATCATACCATTTGAATACCTCCTACATGCTAGATCCTGGGCAAGGCACAATTTTCCATTTAATTAACTAATAACAATGAAAGGCACACATATCCTCATATTATAAAAAAGGTGCCCTGGTCCCTGGTTGGTATAACTCGGTTGGAGTGTTGTCCCCTGCACCAAAAGGTGGAGGGTTTGATTCCCAGTTGGCGTGCAGGTGGAAGGCAGCTGATCAAAGTCCCTCTCCCTGCGCCCTCTCTCCCTTCTCCTTCCTCCCGACCTGTGTGGCTCAGTGGTTGAGCTTTGACCTATAAACTAGGAGGTTCAATTCCCAGTCAGGGCACATATCCAGGTTTCGGGCTCAATCCATAGTAGGGGGCATGCAAGAGACAGCCATCATCATTGATGTTTCTATCACTCTCTCCCTTCCTCTCTGAAGTCAATAAAAATATATTTTTTAAAAAGTCCTTTTTGTTCTTTCTGTAGTAAAAACACATGAAGAAATGTAACAAATAAATTAATTTCATTTTCTTTCTAAAAATCCTATATAATAAAACTCTAATATGCAAATTGACAGAACAGCGGAATGACCGGTTGCTATGACGCACACTGATCACCATGGGGCAGCTCCTGCATTGAGCATCTGCAGCCCAAGAGGGAGGCGACCAGCGGCAGTGATCAGGGGGTGCGGCCGGCCAGCGGGTAGTGCCAGGCCACCAGCCAAGGAAGGTGCCATCGGGGGGCCCCCTGATCACCCAACAAATAGATCGGTCCTGATCACCGACCAAGCCTAGGGACCCTACCCTATATATTGGGAACAGTCTCCTAGATATAAAATTAAAACCTAGCCAGGCTACGCTAATACTGAAAAAACAGGATGATGCAGCGGTGACAATAATGGACTCTGGCTTGCACATTTTGTAGTCAGCCCTGATTCTGACACTTATAATTGTGTGACAAAGCCAATTACTTAATTTCTATTTCAGTTTTTCCACCCATAAGATGGGGAAAATGGTACTACTGCCTAGGAAGGATCATGTTATGTACTACTTTTTATAATCAGGGCAAAAAAAGTAGCTGCCCATACAACAGCAAGATGCCTTTCACCTGTATGAAAAGTATGGTCACTGGTGCATACAGCATCCTGGATTATGAGAGGGACTGCCAGTTTAGGCCTGATCCCCGGGGGTCTATCAGCAATCAGACATCTCCCGAGGGTGCAGTCTGGGCTGAGGGAACCTCCCCATGCACTAATTTCATGCACCGGGCCCTCTAGTAAAAAATAACAGCATAAATATTAAATATTCTCTAATTTCTAAATATGAATACCACCATAAACAATCAAAAACAAGGAGGCCAAAAGAAATATAATAGAAATGTAATTTTCAAAACTATAATTTTTAATAACTTTACAAGTTTATCACTAGATGCCAGACAAACAAAATGTTAGAATAAAAATCTGAGGAGAATTAGTATGATTTACTGTCCGGAGGGTGTGTGTATCAAGCATTATACCAAAAATGTACCAAATGACAATGAGAATCAGGCTGTAAGAACTTATCCTCATAAATGAGTACATTTAAAAGAATGATTGTGAAAGTCAAACACAATAATGTTGGATATATATTTGTTTAAATTGCAAGTATCACCCCCCTGAAAACACCTATCCTCAACGACCATTTGTTCCAATGTGATACAGCATGATTCACTGAATATTGAGAGGTGCCATTTTACAGATCCCAAGAAAAGATGAGGAATCTAACTGTCCAGTGTGCCTCATAAGGAAACTTGATACCGTGGTTTGAGCCATGATAAATTTATAAATTTCTGCAACCCTTTTATTCATAAGGGTTGATCTAGAGAAACACTTCGATTAGTAAAATATATAACCTATCCTTTTCCTGCTTCTGCAAAATTTCCACCATCCTATATAATAGAGAGGCAATATGCAAATTAACCCTCACACCCTCACAAGATGGCTGCCTACGACCAGACTGGCAGGGGGATTATTTAGGGATAACCAAATGACTGAACAAACAGGCTATGTGGGGCAACCAAGCCAGCAGGGGGCTTAGTGAGGGACGACCAAAAGACTGAACAAGCAGGCTGCATGGGGCAACCAGGACGGTGGAAAGGCTGTGAGGGGCGACCAGGCTGGTGGGAGGGGCAGTTGAGGGCAACCAGGCCAGCAGGGGGGGCAGTTAGGGGCGACCAGGCTGGCAGAGGGGGACAGTTGGGGTAACCAGGCTGGCAGGGAGGGGGCAGTAAGAGGTGACCAGCCAGCGGGGGAGGCAGTTAGGGGTGACCATGCCCGCAGGGGTGGGGGAGCAGCTAGGGGCAACCAGGCCAGTAGGGAGGGGGTAGTTGAGGGTGACCTTGTTGGCAGCAGGGGGTAGTTAGGGGCGACCAGGCCAGTAGGGGGGGGGGCAGTTAGGGGCAATCAGGCCGGCACATAGAGGCAGTGAGGGATGATCAGGCCGGCGGGGGGAGAGGGGGCAGTTAGGGGCGATCAGGCAGGCAGGCAGGTGAGCAATTAGGAGCCAGCGGTCCAGGATTGTAAGAGAGTTGTCCGACTGCCGGTCGGACATCCTCCAAGGAGTCCCAGATTGGAGAGAGTGCAGGCTGGGTTGAGGGGTCCCCTCTCCCCGTGCATGAATTTCGTGCCCTGGTCCTCTAGTCATTTCATAAATTCTACTACTGGATACCATGTGACTAACAGTAAGCTTCTCTGATCTTAGACACTTCAGAATAGTGGTATTTATAAATTACAGTTTGAAATGTACAGAAACTATACTTAGTAAAAACAGTTTTGTGCTTTTTGGTTAACTAATATCTTATTCCTTTTGACCAGATCTCACTGCCCAGAAAAGCCAGTTGGGGCTTGGTTAACACATTAAAAAACAAGGCTTTCAGGTCTCAGAGTATGGCAGCTTCAAGAGCTAGAAACTACAAACTAGAACTGTGTGACCTTCACTTTGCCACACACAAGTGTTATTTTCTGTTTGGTATTATTTGGTTTCTTTAGGAAAGGAAGGTTGCTTTGCTTTTCATCAATCCTTTGGGGAAATCAACCCACACAGTGTCGAGTGGTATTCCACATGCATCTCAGTCACAAAGGCACGCCACCCACCCCGCCCTTCCCCAACACAGACAATAATGGATGCTGATAACGCAGGAGAGCTCAGGCACCGTTTGGAAGTGCCTAGATGAGCCTCACCAGAAGTAAGCAAATTCTGGAAGGTTTCTGTCTTAACGCAGCTCTAATTCAAGGACGACTCTTTGGACAGAAGATAAACTGTTAAGTGCCAGATCAATTTATGAGAAAGTGCTTATCTCCAATGCATGAAAAAAAAAATATTTCATTACTTTAGTAATTATTATGTCAACCCAATTCATTGATTTAAAAACTCCCCATTAAGCTACAACAAAATAAAATAATTTTTAAAAATATATTACCTGTTAGCATGCACTCCATTCACCTGAGTGATTACAGTAAATAGTTGACCAAGACCTAACATGGACTTCACTACACCGTGATAATGAATGATCTAAAAATTTAAAATATTTAAAATAACAATTGTAACTTCAAATATATCTTGAGAACAAAAGACAGTTTAATATTTATTTTAAAAAATACTATTTACCTCATTGAGCTTATGCATCCTTAGCAGTCAACTTGCTTGGTATATGGCAGAGCCTCCTACCAATGTCATACAACATCTAAATTTTTTTTAAATGCAGACAACCTTAAAAACTCAAATTTCTTATTTTTTTCCAGATTTGGTCTAATTTTTGGTTCAGATCAAATATAAAAGTAAAAAGCACTCTTTACTATTTTATTTAAAGACTATTTGTCATATTATAACAGAAAATGAAAATTCAAGGTCACAACATTATTAATGTAGATTTTGGGAATTAGTAACAAGAAAGTTAAATAGGATTATGCAATATTTTTTAAAGCTGAAAACAATGGATTGTGAAAAACAAAAACCCTGTACATTGAGACAGTGAACATGGCAAATATGACAAAATACTCTCAGATTCGAAAGAATTTAAGCCAAAATTATAAATCAACAATTCTCAACCCCTCTCCCCATACCCCATGAATAATTGTAGTTCCTTGTTTCTAAGGGACCACTTCAGAGTTTCAGATGTTGGCAGCGAACATGTGAAATCTGAAGAAGTTCCTAAGACTAGAGAATCACTATTATTATTAAAAATTGGTGCATGTATTATACTTTTAATAGCAAACTAAAATTATATAAATTTTAGAGTAATTTAATACACAGTTTAATATAAATATACTCTGTAGTAATCTCATTTATTTGGGGATATATAAGGTCATAGAAATTTGTATTGGAAGGGATCTTTGAGATCTAATGTAAGTCTCTACTTTTATCAATCTGAAAACTCAAGCTCAGAGATGATGAAATGGTTTCCAAACACACTGGGACACTGGTAGAGACAGTAGTGAACTAAGTTTTCCAGAGTTCCTTGTATAGTGTTCTTTACATTGTGTTGCCTTTCATGCATCATCTTACCTGGTCTGGTTCTAGCTGAATGGCCCTGTCATAACAAGCAGTGGCATCCCTCAGTAAGCCAATGCTCTCATGCTCAAGGATCTGTTCTTTTAGAGATGGTTCTGCCTTTCGGATTGCACTGACTCCAGCTACTCCATCTGGTTCATGCATAGCAGCATATAATTTCTTTGTTCAACCATTGAAAACAATCAAATGAGAGGAAAAACACAACTGAAAATAATACTATCAAACCACCAGTTTACATGAAAAGGACATAAGAGAATTTTTTTCTCAAAGCAGCAATATTAAAATTTTATTCCCCAGCCTTTCTGTTACCGCAACACTAATTCCATTCCATTTAAATACACACCTACATTAGTAACTGTTATTGACAACAAGAGCTGTAAAGAACTTCAAGGGTCTGAACACATTTTGAACCCAATTTCAAATAAATTCTGTTGAGTATAGTTTATGTGTTTTACTGCATTTTAAAACAAAAACATTTAAGCAAGCACTTTAAAATGCTGGTATTTAGATGCCTTCAAGAAACCCAAGACATCAAATCTGAGTTCCAATGGGATATTCCGGTTAAAGATAAAAATCTATGGGGCAATTAGCACAAAGATGGCAGGGGAAAGAATGGCATGATTTAAGAAATGAATAGAGAGAGAGAAGAAAAGAGGGCAAGGGAAGAAGAGTATTATATCTATAAAATAAAAGCCTAAGTGACCCTTACAGCAGAACAACCAGAATGACCAGTCGCTATGATGTGCACTGAACACCAGGGGAAGCGCTGCTCATCCAGAAGCCGGGCTCATGGCTGGAGAGTGCAGCTGGGGTGCACGACCCTCTCCCGCTTCTGCAGCAGCACTAAGGAGCAGTGAGCCAAGTGGTAAGGAGCAGCGAGCAGGCAGGCAGTAAGGAGCAAGGAGTCCCAGACTGCGACAGGGCGCAGGCTGGGCTGAGGGACCCTCCCCCGTCCCAGTGCAAGAATTTCGTGCACCATGCCTCTAGTTTATAAATAAGGAAGAACTAGCAAAGGAAACTGAGAACAGAAACCAAAGTAATTTGAAGAAACCTAGAGAATGTTGGTATCCCAGGAGTTGTGGGAGAAAAGCAAATGTCTTATTTAAGAAAGGAGTGGTCTAATAATGTTGTGAGGTTAAGCAAATGAGGATTTGAAAACATTGATTGGATTTGGTAACATAAGCTCACTGAATTTCTTAGCAAGAATAGTGTCAGCAGAATGGAGAAAAAAGACTTGTTGGACTGGGTAAAGACTGAATGGAAAGTAAGAAGTGAATACAGGGAAGATAGACGATTCTTTTTTTTTTTTTTTAGATGATTCTTTAAAAAAATGACTGTAAAGGGAAAGCATCTGAAGGAGTAGCTAAAATGAGGAAATTATAAAAAATTTAAATAGGAGATATCAGAGCACATCTATATACTTATATACTCTGGCTGAAAAATAAATTATTGATACTAGAGAAAGCAGAAATATTTGAAGGAGTGAAAGCCTTAAAAATTGAAACTATAAATGAAAGGGCTGAATTTTGTCAGGGAACCCTTCCTTAGGAACAACAGAAGGGAAGGAAAAGAATATGGTGCAACAGCCAGTGTGCTTTCAGATTTGATAGATATTTGGTTTCTATTTTCCTAATGAACAATGAAGCAAGAACATCAGCTGAGAGTAAATGAGATGGAAGGTAAGAAATGAAGAGAAGGTTATCTTGAAGAGTGAGAAAGTGGGTTTACGAAAGAAACATTTACCAGTAGAAGAACTGAAGAGAGTATTAAAGAGTCCAGCTTATGGTTGAAATTATAAGTTAAAAGCCAATTCTGTGATTGTGATATTTTTCTACACAATGTTCAGCTGCTTACATGCAGATACTGGGAAGGCATTTGGGTGAATTTATTCAGGGTTGAAGTTTTACAAAATGAGTACAATACAGAAGGATTGAAGAAAGACAAGGGAGTTAAATATCCTTGTAAAGGGAATGATTTTAACAATGAACAAAAGACTCAAACTAGATAAGGAAGAAAACAACAGGAAGAGGGCTAATATTTATTCAGATTAAAAGCTACTAATTTTCCAGTTCTCTCACCACACTTTGTTTTTCTACTGAAAAAAGCCCACCAATTTTGACCTCTTATTTAAGTCCCATTGAATTAGTCCCACCTGCCCTTAGTTTCTTTTCTTCCCCACACAGTCATAACATTATCACCTAAACCACTTTTTCAGCAGCATTGCCATGGCTGATGCCTGTTACAACCAGTACATCCCCCTATCCACCCACCCCCAAATTCAGGCCCACGTTTCTCACAATAGTAATGGCCTGCTTGCCTTGAATTATAGCCCTTTAAAGTCCTTCCTCCATGACTGCCATAGGCATTTAGCTAAAATGCAATTCTGACTAAAGCACTTCCTGGTTCAAATCCTCTACAATCGTCTGTGATTTATCTTTCCTCTGACATTCTATATGGGCACTCTTTCTCAAATCCATAGGGATGCACTGCCTGGAATGTCTTGCCTCCTCCTTGTACCTATCATTCATTCTTTCTTTAAGACCCCTTAGATATCATCTTCAAGAAGCCCTTACTGAATCCTTTCTCAGCCACTCCCATCTTTCATCACACCCTACATAGAAGATGAGTTAAATGTCTTTCCTCAGGGCATATCTATGTCACTGTATACTTAAGATATTACACCAAATTGGTGTTTATCTCTCCACACTAATCTGTAAGCTTCTAAAGTACTTACAAATATCTAGTTCCTAGCACAGCATCTAAAACACTCCATAAAATGAACAATATTTCATTTCCTCATAAAAAGAGTAGCAATAAACATTATTAAATTCACAATATGAATTTCAAACCTGTAAAAATCCAAGATGCTCTTGAATATCTTGCTTCTTTTCTGTAATAAATGATTCAAAGTGCATTACAGCTCTTGTGTATGCTTTAGAGCGAAAAGAAGCTACTGCCAGAGTATCCTGAGGTATGAGGTCAAGAAAACGAGTTACACTCTGATAGTCTTCATGATCCACAGTAGATACTAGATTATAAAAAGATAATTAAATAATTAAAGACTTAGAAAAAAAAATTTTAAAAGTGTTAATTATAATTTCAATTTTCGTATTTTAAATTCAATATATTTCACTAACAAAATTATCAAAATGTATTAGGGTATCATATTTAGAATGCAACTATCAACAAGATGATTGCTAGAGAAACCAAGATGGCGGCATAGGTAAACACCGGAAATTGCTGCTTCGCACAACAATTTCCAAAATACAACTAAAAGACAAAACGGACACATCCAGAACCACAGGAAGGCTGGCTGAGTGGAAATTTTACAACTAGAAGGAAAGAGAAAAGCAGCTGAGGACGCGGCTCACGCGGAAAGGGCTGGAAACTGAGGAGATGGTTGTCTTTTTCAATCGGGAGAGAGTTTCAAGCTCCTGACTGCTCTGAACTCCAGTTCCGGGCGAGTATCTGGGGGCCCAGACTCATACAGGAGAAACTGGACTGTTTGGCATCCGTTGGAACTCGAGGGAGGCTTTCTTTCAGAGGTACTGGCAGTGAGTACTGGGACACTGAGAAGCGGGGCCTCTTAGGGTAGGACTGAGGAGCAGCCATAGCTGCTTGCTCCGCCCTGTTGATCCCCAGAGACCCCGCCCCACCCAAGCTGTGTGCAGAGGCTTTTGCGTATGAAAGGCCTTGCCCGTTGCAATCTGAAAATTACCTAACAAACTGCAGCTGGGTCAGAGAAACCCAGAACTTCCAAAAGAAGGCCCAAGGCCCCAAAGCAGCTTGCATTGCTTCACAGCTGGGCTCCTGCTAGGTAGCCTCAGCCAAAGTCTAAATTAGCACCTCCTTAGAGATCCAAGAGCCAGTGTACCCAGTGGTCAGAGTGGGACCATCCAGATTACAACTCCTCAGATCCATAAGGGACACACTCAGGGGGCAGACTCAGTGAGCACCAAAGCCCCACTGAAGCAAGTCTTGCCCCAGAAGGGTGTCTTCAGCACAAAAGTTCCCCCACTGCAGCCACAGCTGATTCTCACAGCCAATTGGCCTGGAGGTCAATTCCTCCCAGTGATACCTACAACAATCAAGGCTTAACTACAACATGACTGTGCACAAAGCCCACAAAGGGGTGCACCAAGAGTGTCTACCTCAGATAATTGGGGAGACTAAACCACTGGGCCCTATAGGACACCTAGCACAGAAAGCCACTCTATCAACACAGGGAAGCATAAAAAATGTGGAGACAAAGAAACAGGTCACAACTGACAGAAATGGAGGAAAGCAAACTACTGGATAGAGAGTTCAAAACCACACTTACAGTGCGGCCTTGACTTACAAGTGTCCCGACTAACGAGTTTTTTGAGATACCAGCTATCTCTTGCAGATGTTTTGCATTGAGTTGACAGAGTAATTTGAGTTAACGAGCTCCTTAACGAGTTTGGTCTCGGACAAATTAAACTCGTAAGTCAAGACCCCACTGTACAAGGTTTTTCAAGAATTTTCTAGAAACTGACGATAAATTTAGTAAGAACCTCAATATGTCTACTGAGACCGCCGATAAATTTAGTGAGACCCTCAAGGTTATGAAAAAGGACCAACCAGAAATTAAGCATACACTGACTGAAATAAAGAATATTATACAGACACAGAACCTAGAGACAGAACCTAGCGAGAGAGACTGGGGGGGGGGGGGGGGGGACAAACTTTTTGACTCGAGGGGCACAATGGGTTCTTAAACTGGACCGGAGGGCCGGAACAAAAGCATGGATGGAGTGTTTGTGTGAACTAATATAAATTCAAAGTAAACATCATTACATAAAAGGATATGGTCTTTTTTTTTTTAGTTTTATTCATTTCAAACGGGCCGGATTCGGCCCACGAGCCATAGTTTGCCCACGGCTGACCTAGACAGAACCTGGCGACTGAACCTGGCTGGAGAACCTAGCGAGAGAACATGGCAAAAGAACCTGGATAGAACCTGGTCACAGAACCTGGTGACCGAACCTGGCTGGAGAACCTAGCGAGAGAACATGGCAAAAGAACCTGGCAAGAGAACCTAGACAGAACTTGGCTGGAGATCCTGGCTAGGCTGCTGATCAACTGAACGCTGCCTCCGTGCCCTTCCTTCTTCGCCGACTCCGTCCACACCTTTGAGGACCCCTGGACCTGTTGGGGCTGGACCCCAGCAGTACCCATCTCCATACCCCAGCTCCTACACACCTGTGGAAACCCTGCTAATCCTTCCATATCGAGTTCAGACTCAATGACTACATCTGCTTTTTGCTTTTTTCACCATGCCCCTACCTGGTGGGGCCCTAGGATACATCCACTACAAATTGACCCATTGGAATAAAAATAAAATAATATCTCACTTAGTCCTTCCTTAGGACTATAATAGGCAGAAAAAAAGAAAAAAAAAGAATATTATACAGAGTTCCAACAGCAGACTAGAAGATCGCAAGAATCAAGTCAAAGATTTGAAATATGAAGAAGCAAAAAACACCCAACCAGAAAAGCAAAATGAAAAAAGAATCCAAGAATACGAAGATAGTGTAAGGAGTCTCTGGGACAACTTCAAACGTACCAAGGTCCGAATTATGGGGGTGCCAGAAGATGAGAGAGAGCAAGATACTGAAAACCTATTTGAAGAAATAATGACAGAAAACTTCCCCTACCTGGTGAAAGAAATAGACTTACAAGTCCAGGAAGCGCAGAGAACCCCAAACAAAAGGAATCCAAAGAGGACCATACCAAGACACATCATAATTAAAATGCCAAGAGCAAAAAACAAAGAGAGAATCTTAAAAGAAGCAAGAAAAAAAAATCAGTTACCTACAAGGGAGTACCCATATGACTGTCAGCTGATTTCTCAACAGAAACTTTGCAGGCCAGAAGGGAGTGGCAAGAAATATTCAAAGTGATGAATACCAAGAACCTACAACCAAGATTGCTTTACCCAGCAAAGCTATCATTCAGAATCGAAGGTCAGATAAAGAGCTTCACAGATAAGAAAAAGCTAAAGGAGTTCATCAACACCAAACCAGTATTATACGAAATGCTGAAAGGTATCCTTTAAAAAGAGGAAGAAGAAAAAGGTAAAAATAAAAATTATGAATAGGAAATACACATCTATCAACAAGTGAATCTAAAAATCAAGTGAATAAATAATCTGATGAACAGAATAAACTGGTGAATATAATAGAATCAGGGGCATAGAACGGGAGTGGACTGACTATTTTTGGGTGGGAAAGGAGTGTCGGGGGTGTGGTAAGAGACTGGACAAAAATCATACACCTATGGATGAGGACAGGTGCGGGGAAGGGGGTAAGGGCAGAGGATGGGGTGGGAACCAGGTGGAGGGTAGCAATGGGGGGAAAAAAGAGGAACAACTGTAATAATCTGAACAATAAAGATTTAATTAAAAAAAAAAAACAAGGTGATTGCTCAGAGAATTTTTGCTTCAACTTCACATTATTTACTTTACCTTAGATAGTCATTTAACTTATTTGAACTTTTGTTTCCTCATAAATAAAAGGGAAATATTATTATCTATCCTGCCTTCCTTACAATGTTGTGGTGAGGGTTAATTATAAAACTATATGAAATGTAGAAAAGATATAAATATGATACAAAAGATACAGAGATGAGTTATTTATTATTGATACCTCTAAAAACACTGATACAGTATAGCTATTGGTAGAAAAAAGAAATACTAAAGCAGGGGTCCACAAACTTTTTAAACAGGGGGCCAGTTCACTGTCCCTCAGACCGTTGGAGGGCCGGACTATAGTTTCAAAAAAAACTATGAACAAATTCCTATGCACACTGCACATATCTTATTTTGAAGTAAAAAAACAAAACGGGAACAAATACAATATTTGTATTTGTATGTGACCCACGGGCCGTAGTTTGAGGACCCCTGTACTAAAGTAACCTTTTTAAATTTAAAGTTCAGAATTCTTTGTTAACGATCTGGTGTGTTTTTTCTGTGTTGCCTGCCATATATACATTATCAACTATTACAATGGAAACTAAAAGTAAAAGTGCCTTTGAAGTAAAACCACAAATATTTAAAAGGGTACTTTTTTTCAGCAATCTAAGAAAAGGCATAAATTGGAAGCTTCTAAATGAGGGCAGTCCATTTTGTGAATTCTTTCTTTTTAATCTCTCTATTGTTTATTTTTATTTTTTTAAATAATTCTTTTTTAAAAAATATATTTTATTGATTTTTTACAGAGAGGAAGGGGAAGGAATAGAGAGTTAGAAACATCGATGAGAGAGAAACATTGATTCAGCCACCTCCTGCACAGCCCGCAACCAAGGTACATGACCTTGACCTGAGCCAAACTGGTTAGGGCTTAAATAGCTCTTTATTGTTGAAAGTATGTCACCTTTTTCCCCCATTGACCCCTCTCCCCTTGCCCCTCCCCCTATTTTATGAATTCTTATTTATAAAATATTATTTATTTTTAAAATATTTTTATTTTTATTTCAGATAGGAAAGGGGGGGGGGAGGAGAGAGAGAGAGAGAGAGAGAGAGACATCAAATGATGAGAGGGTCTTTGATTGGCTGCCGTCTGCACACCCCCTACTGGGGACTGAGCCCACAACTCAGGCATGTGCCCTTGACTGTAATCGAACCTGGGACCCTTCAGTCCACAGGCCGACGCTCTATGCACTGAGCCAAACTGGCTAGGGCATCTTATTTTTAATAATGATTCATAATAGTATGTAAAACACAGGAAACAGAATTAAATTTTAAAAATTTCAATAAACAAGATAGTAAATTTAAGAGAAATTATATTTAAAATAAGTCCATTACTTTCATCAATATTTGTATATGATTTCAAATTATAAAAAATGCTAAGGGTATTATACTTTAGAAGCATTACAAATACTGTCCTTGAAATCTTTAATTTTCCTTGCAATGTTAGTAGAAATGCTGATTAACAGAGTTCGTACCTGGTTTGATAGCCCAATTTTCACATGCAGAAACAGGAAAAAACATTTAAGTGTTAAACTAATGTGAAATATATTAGCCATATTCCAGAGGGGGAAAAAAATTCTCCCAAACAAATACTTATTGCCAGTTCAAGAAATTTTACAAAAATAAACTATTGTGCTTAACAGGAATGTATGCACTTCAACTGGTATAGGAACAAGAGAGAAATGCTCAGAAACTGGAAACTGTGTAAGTGAAGACCTCTTTAAGAGTTGTTAATCAATTTTTTTTTCAATTAGCCTCAAAGCCTGGTGGGAAAACATACATGGCTGAAATATAAAAAAGCATACAGATTACATACTTCATCTACTTGCAATAAGAATAAGAAAAAAAAAGGTTCAAAGACATTAAGAGCATCCATTATATTAAGAGTATCCATTACTGTCTTAATAACGTAATTCTTCTCACCAACTGCTCATATCAGAGAGGCAGGTGTCATTTTTAGCTCTAGTAAGATTCTCCTTTTAGTCACCTTACTAGGAATTGTAATATCACAGAAAAAAACTAGAACAATAGTAAGAACAGAAGGGTGTAGTGTAATAACATGTATTATGCACATCTGGAGACTTGCTGGATACCAAACAGTGCCAGACACAGAAAAACAAAAAGGATAAAATGAATGAAATGAACAAAAAGTCCATGAAATTAAAATCTCCTTTGAAATTGAAAACTTAAATGTGAAAAAGATTGCAAATACAGTAAAACCTTGATGTAAAGGACTAACTTGGGAAAGGGAGTGTGTCCATTAAAGCTGAAAGTTCATCCTATCTAATAAAAGAGAAATATGGTAATTAGCCGTAACTCCGCTACCCTTCCCATTGGCTAATCAGGGCAATATGGAAATTAACTGCCAGCCAAGATTGTGGCCGGCAGGCAGGCAGGCAGCTTGAAGCGAGCATGAGGCTTGCTTGCTTCAGTGATGGAGGACTCCAACACTGTCGGCTTCTGAGCTTGCAGTTTGAAACATTGTAACAAATATAGAAGCTAAACAAAACCCCAGAAACCTGCTTTCAGCCAGCCGGGATCTCAGAGCTGGAGTTGAAACAGTGTTTCGATTATAGACCCCAAACAAACCAGATACCTGCTTTCAGCTGCCGAGGCCTAAGAGCTGGAGCCAAGCCTCAGAGCTAAAGCTGGCCCAGGATAAAACAAAAAGAAAAAATGGAGTGGTTGGGAACTTCCGTCACCCGCCAGCCTGAAAACAGCCCTCAGACCCTCACCCAGACTGGCCAGGCACCCCAGTGGGGACCCCCACCCTGAAGGGTGTGTGACCAGCTGCAAACAGCCATCAACCCCTCATCCAGGCTAGCCAGGCACCCCAGTGGGGACCCCCACCCTGATCCAGGACACCCTTCAGGGCAAACCAGCCGGCCCCCACCCGTGCACCAGGCCTCTATCCTATACAGTAAAAGGGTAATATGCCTCCCAGCACCGGGATCAGCGGAGCCACGAGGCCTCCCAGCACCGGGATCAGCGTGACAGGGGGCAGCACCCAAAACCCCTGATCGCCTTGCGGCTCTGTGTGTGACACGGGGCGGGGACACAACCTCCCTATCCACCCTGTTCTGTTCGTGACAGGGGAAGGCACCCCAACCCCCTGATCAGCCCTGCTCTGTGCCTGATGGTGGGAGCTCCCCAACCCCCTGATCGCCTTGCGGCTCTGTGTGTGGCAGGGTGCGGCGCCCCAACCCCCTCATCGGCCCTGCTGTGTATGTGATGGGGTAGAGCCATAACCTCCCCATCAGCCCTGCCCTGAGTGTGACAGTGGTGACGCACCAACCCCCTGATCGGCCCTGCTCTTTGGGTGATAGAGGGTGGCGCCCCAACCGCCCCCCACAGGCCCTGCTGTGTGACGGGGTAGAGTCATAACCTCCCCATCGGCCCTGCCCTGAGTGTGACAGGGTGTGGCGCCCCAACCCCCTGATCCGCCCTGCTCTGTGTGTGACAGGTGACGGTGCCCCAACTCCCCTATCGGCCCTACTCTGTGAGTGACAGGGGGGAGCTCCTCAACCCCCTGATCAGCCCTGCTCTGTGCGTGACAGGGGGGAGCTCCCCAACCTCCAATGGGCCCTGCTCTGTGTGTGACAGAGGGGAGCTCCCCAATCCCCTGATCGACCCTGCTCTGTGCATGACAGGGTACAGAGCCCCAACCCCCCTGATGGGCCCTGCTCTGTGCGTGACCGGGGGTGGTGCCGCAACCTCCCCATCGACCCTGCCTTGAGTGTGACAGGGGGTGGTGCCCCAATCCCCCAATCGGCCCTACCCTGAGCGTGACTTAGGGTGGCATCGCAACCTCCCCATCCGCCCTGCTCTGTGCATGACAGGGGGTGGCGCCCCAACTCCCCAGTTGATCCTGCTCTGAGCTCGACCAGGGGCTGCACCTAAGGATTGGGCCTGCCCTCTGCCACCCGGGAGCGGGCCTAAGCCAGCAGGTAGTTATCTCCCGAGCGTCCCAGACTGCGAGAGGGCACAGGCCGGGCTGAGGAACCCCGCCCCCCCCCCTCGTGCACAAATTTTTGTGCACCAGGCCTCTACTTATATAATAATATAGGTTTTCTGAATGCATATGTTAAAAAATTGACAAATTAGATTACCAGTTTTTACTTATGTAGACATGTTGGTGTAATTAAAATTAAGTATGTATAAAAAGTTTAATTTCACAGAAGAATTTTCTATATGTATTACTGTAATTTTAAATTTATACTGAATAGGTCTCGTAGATGCGCGCATTCACCAATCGCCTTGACTAAACAAATGCACATGGCTGGTGTGTGGCTTAGTGCACTGGGAACATCAGCCTGCAGGAGTTAAAACTGCAGCAGAAAAGTCAGGCCTGGTGACAACAGAACCAATTACCACATGCAATGCAGGTGATCATGTGCTGATCATTCCCCGAATATTTACAGCGGTGACACTTGGATTTAAATATGTAGACTATAGTTGTAGATAGGTAATATTTATTTATGTCAGCTAAATTACTCAGTGTTTTTTCCAACATATGGCCTATTTGTTAAAAATGACAGTGAATTAATAACAAACAAAATAACCTGCTAATTTAATTACAAGCAAATCTTGGTTAAAATCATTTAAAAATTAATAGGACGTTAATTTTCACTTATGACATATAGACTGGAAATCCTACCCATTAATAGAGGTCCACAGCGCTCTCTTCGGCAGTACATATACTAAAATCGTGATGCACAGGATTGAGGATTTACTGTATTTCACAAGTGTAAATGGACAAAGAACACTTCACTACATATATATGTATACGTATGTATATGCACATGTATAGGTATACACATGCAAATACACTGAAGTGACATGAGTAAATGAGTTAACACTGAAGAGTAGGTTAATAACAATATTAACAAGGCACTTATTTCACACTTTACAGTTTATATATTCATCATCTTATTTAATCCTTAATCTACTAAGAGAGATAAAATTAATTCTATTTTATATAAAGAAAAATTAGGTATGTGTCTTGCCCAAGGAAATGACTGAGAACTTGAAAGAGAGGTTTTCTAATTATAAATTCACTACAATTACTCAGTGAAAAGGCCAAGAAAAAAAAATACATAGGTTTTTTAAACGCTAATGCTTAAATTATAAAACTGATCCAGAAAGGAGCTAATTTGTTAATAATTAAGATTAAAAATAAACAGAAGTTATGACTCACCCATTGAGTCTACCTTATCTCTGTTTGATTTGCTTTGTGGAAATTTCTCAGCATTCAGTGCCTGAAATTTGTGCCTTGACCATTGTGTGAGATGGTCAATCATGGAGAATACAGTTTGTGTACTAAGTTGACACAGGTCAGATGCACTGTATTGGGTATTTATAGTATGCTGATCATCATGCTTTAGAACTGCCATAATTTCTGCATAAACCTGAAAGAAATAATTTTATAATTAATAATGTCTACATAATAATTTTACTAGTATCCAATATATAAGACTAACCATTCTAAGGCAACAACTAAAAAAAAAACACCCCACCATGGCTTAATAATAAATTAGTTTTCTCATCTATAGTTAAAACCAATAAAAAGAAAACCTACTATAAAAGAGTAATAAATGTGAACATAAAAATATTTTAAAATTCTTTTAGATCAGTGGTTTTTAACCAGTGTGCCACGGCACATTGATGTACCACCAAGAATTTTTAAAAAATGGAATACCTGACTATTTTAGTTAGGGGCACTTAACTCTTTTCCCTTAGGTTGTCAAACAAATAAAATTACAACAGCCAACACAACAATATCCATCTGGTGTGAATGAGTCAAAATCTACCTATTTTCTTTGTCAGACTGGCACAAAATATATTTTTTTGGTGTGCCACAGAATTTTAGTAATTAGTTTATGTATACCATGAGATAAAAAAGGTTGAAAGTCCCTGTTCTAGATTATACAATAAATTATAATGAAACTATTTATTAACTAGCAGCAAAAAACTTAAAACAATCTCACACTATCCACAAAGTCAATTTCAGAGTAATTAAAGGGCTAAATGAAAAATTAAAATAATTTTTTTTAAATGTAGGAAATATATTCATGACATTGAATTAAGAGAAGTAATCATATAAAAGGCTTAAAATTAAAAAGTTGTAAGATTGATAAATTTGGCATTACATTTTAAATCTTTCCATGTAAAAGGTATAAACAAAGGTTAAAAAGAAAACCACTCCAGTGACAGCCATAGAAGGTAAATAAATCCCAAAATTAAAAAAAAAGAAAAAAGAAAAAAAGGAGAGGTTGGGAGCTTCAGTCACCCACCAGCCTGAAAACAGCCTTCAGCCCCTCACCCAGGCTGGGCCAGGCACCCCAGTGGGGACCCCCACCCTGATCCAGGACACCCTTCAGAGCAAACCAGCTGGCCCCCACCCGTGCACCAGGCCCCTATCCTATATAGTAAAAGGATAATATGCCTCCCAGCACCGGGATCAGCGGAGCCGAGAGGCCTCACGCCCCCCGGGAGCAGCAGAGCCACGAGGCCTCCAGGCACTGGGATCAGCGGAGCCTCCCAGCACTGCGATCAGTGGAGCCTCCCAGCACTGCGATCAGCGGAGCCGCGAGGCCTCCCAGCACCAGGATCAGCAGAGCAGCGAGGCCTCACTGCCCCTGTGTCAAGCGGAGCCGTGAGGCCTCCCAGCACTGGGATCAGCAGAGCCGCGAGGCCTCCTGCCCCCTGGAGCAGCGTGACAGGGGGCAGAGCCCAAACCCCCTGATCGCCCTGTGGCTCTGTGTGTGACAGGGGGCAGGGCCACAACCCCCTGATCGGCCCTGCTCTGTGTGTGACAGGGGGCGGTGCCCCAACTCCGCTATCGGCCCTACTCTGTGTGTGACAGGGGGAAGCTCCCCAACCCCCTGATCGGCCCTGGTCTGTGTGTGACAGGGTATGGAGCCCCAACCCCCCCCCGATGGGCCCTGCTCTGTGTGTGACAGGGGCAGTGCCCCAACCCCCCAATCGGTCCTGCTCTGTGCGTGACAGGGCGTAGCGCCGCAACCTCCCCATCGACCCTGCCTTGAGTGTGACACGGGGCGGCGCCCCAACTCCCCAATCGGCCCTACTCTGAGCTTGACCAGGGGCTGCACCTAGGGATTGGGCCTGCCCTCTGCCACCCGGGAGCGGGCCTAAGCCAGCAGCCAGCAGGTCGTTATTTCCCGAGGGGTCCCAGACTGTGAGAGGGCACAAATGGGGCTGAGGGACACCACCCCCCCCCGCCACCAGTGCACAAATTTTTGTGCACCGGGCCTCTAGTCCTATATAATAAAGTTGTAATATGCAAATTGACTGTCATGCCCTCATACAAGATGGCCATCCTCATGTGGTCAAAAGATGGCCACCACAAGATGGCCGCAGAGGAGGGCAGTTGGTGGGGGACCAGGCTGGCAGGGAAGGACAGTTGCGGGGGGCAGACCAGGCCTGCAGGGGAGGGCGGTTAGGGGCAACCAGGTCAGCAGGGGAGGGCAGTTAGGAGTGACTGGGCTGGCAGGGGAGGCAGTTGGGCGCGACCAGGCCTGCAGTGGAAGGCAGTTGGGACAACTGGGCCAGTAGGGGAGAGCAGTTAGAGGCGATTAGGCTGGCAGGGGAGGGCAGTTAGGGGCGACAGGGCTGGCAGGGGAACAGTTAGGCATCGATCAGGCTGGCAGGGGAATGGTTAGGGGGTGATCAGGCTGGCAGGCATAAGAGGTTAGAGGCAATCAGGCAGGCAGGCAGCCGAGTGGTTGCAAGCCAGCAGTCTTGGATTGTGAGAGAGATGTCCAACTGCCGGCAGTAGGAGATCCCCCTAGGGGTCCCAGATTGAAGAGGGTGCAGGCTGGTCTGAGGGACACCCCCCCCCCCCTTCCAGTACACGAATTTCATGCACCGGGCCTCTAGTTTATAGAAAAGTAATCCAAATGGCCAACAAACATAACTACTGGGAATAATAAAAACACAAATTAAAACAATAAAATGTCCTTTTTTTTTTTTACCCATCATGTTGCCTAAAATTTAAATGTTTGAAAATATCAAGTACTGGACAGTGTATGGGAAATGGATAGACTTGTCAACTGGTAGGATTATAAATCTGTATGTACATTTGCTGTCTCTAATAAAATGTTAAATGTACATACTATATAATCCAACAGTTCTACTTTTTGGAATCCACCCTAAACACACATACACAAACATGTCCACAAGTAAGAATTGTCATGCTCACCATAGCATTGTTTGTAAAAGCAAAACATTGGAAATAATCAACATTACTATGGCAATATTTAAATAAATCATTATACAACTATAAAGTGGAAATATACTATGAGCACTAATAAAAGGTGGCACTGTCTCAATTAATTAATTAAAGCAAGTTGCAGAACAATACCTACAATATGATACTACCATAAAAAAACAAAACAGAACCAATTGCATTAAAAAAAAAAAAAAAGGCCTGAAAAAAAAATATATCAAATTAATTATCAGTAATGACCTCTGAGGATTTAGGATTAGGATAGTAATTAACGAGTATACTTTGATTTATTCATCTAATTTTAATTTTTACATTAAGAATATAGTAATATGCTACTTTGGGTGTTAAAAAGAAACATTTTAAAAAGTGCTATATGTACGTAGTTAAAAAATTGAATTTACAAAATATTATAAAAGTCAATAATAAAATATTCTCCTTCCCCTACCCTAATTCACAGTACCATTTCCCAGGAAAAACCACTATTAATATTTTCTTCTGTATCCTTCTCAAAAGCTCTGGGATTATTTGGGTATATATTTTATATACTTTCTGCACTAAGCATATATAATTTTTTTATAATTAAAAGTATAAAGAGGATATTGTATGCCTTTACATATGTACATTCAGAGTACTGATTTACATTTCCTACTAATATGAAGTCTTTCTAATATGCTGGAAAATGTTTGGACAAACAGAACCCAAGTAAAATAATCCCTCTTACCTCCTGCTGATCTTCTTGATTACAACCCAACAACACATACACTAAAATATGTGGAAGAAGATAGATGGTCACCTTGAAATCATGCTTCATCATAATGCTACAGCAGGTGAAAATTTTACTGGCAAGATCATGCCGAACCTGTAAACTCAATGGTTGAGGGAAAGTGAGGAATTTTAATGTCAAAGAAAAACATGTGAGATTACAGAGTGGGTACTCTTTTATAGAAAGGGAGGCATATGCACTCAAGCAAGGCAGCTTTCAGAACCCCGCCTCTCTTTTTACTCTAAATACCTCCAAGTGCCTGAACTACTGAGATCCCTATAGGCAATACAGCTACCTGGGCTCCAACTACCTCAGTATAAATGGTCTTTACCCCTTACAGTTCATTTCTTAATGCACGATGTTTTGTTACAGATTAACTTCCTTGATTACAGTATATTTTACTTAGCTAACATTAAGTTTAGAGCATTAATTCCCGGAGCACAGAGATGAGTAAAATAACCAAAAAGTATGCTCTGGGCCAGCACATCAAACATATGGTTAACATTTTAATAAGTAATAAACAGTGATTAACTATAGGAGAAAAAAATTTTAATAGAACATTAAATTACTTAGGGTTAGAGTCAAATTTTATTAATATGACCTATCCTTTGATTTACCTACAGTACTATTCTCTTACAAAATTCTATAGCCTCCCTTCTTCAAATATAAATGCTTCACTTAAAAAAAATGTAAAAAATTCCATTGCTAGAAGCAATTATGTTCTACATTTCACATATTATATTTTCAGTATGTTTATAAAAAATGACAGAAATTTTCTTAAAATTACCAATATAAATTATAATATTTTAAACACTAACAGAAATATGAATTTTCTAAAAGTTGTGGATTATAAATATGCCTTAAACATCTTCTTGGAATACAGAATACCTTTTTGTCTTTGGGCATGTAAAAATTTCATTATCAGAACTATACCTCTATTTTTCTATGAAATTTCAACTTTTTAAAAATCTTTATTTTTATTTTGGGGCAAGTTCAGATCATGTATCTTCTTTTAAAAGTAACCAATAAAGGGAAATATATCTTTTATTACATAAAGAATTTTTTATTATGTAATGAACTCTGATAAGGCATTAACTTCCTTTTAAACAGTATTTTACAACTTAAAATGAACAAACATAAAGTAATAATGTTTACAAACACATTAAGACCACAGTAATTTGATAAAACAATGACCTCCTTACTCAGAAACTGGTAGCAATAGAGAAATTGTTACTCTTTATTAGTAAATATTTTCTACTAAAATTTTCTACAAAAATTTATATCATTGTCAACACAAATATTTCAATGCTTCCTGTGTGTGCTATGTATTCAGATAGATGTTCTCACTTCTTTTAGACTTTCTGTGTTCAGGGAACAAATTCTTAACACAATTCTCTTACCTTTGTTATAAGATAACCTGCCCAAGATGCTGACCATTCTGCAAAGTTATTACCTAATTTACTTAAGTAAATTGGCTTCTTTACTCCAGACCAATCTGTTGACTTCTGAGAACTCTTGTATCTGTAATTTTGAAAATTTGTGTATTGAAAAAATATATAATTATATAACCATCTGTTAAGCTCTTTAATAAAAATAAAGTTGAAGAAACTATCAACTCTACCACTGACTATCCCACTAGTGCTTTGTCTTTACTGAAACCTAGTTAAAGATACTACTTTTCCTGTATCTTTCTTTTTAAATTTATTTATTGATTTTAGAGAAAGGAAGAGAGGGAGAAAAGGAGAAGGAGAGAGAAACATTGATTTGTTGTTCCACTTATTTATGCATTCTTTGGTTGATTCTTGTAGGTGCCCTGACCAGAATCAAACCTGCAACATTGGTTTTAACCAACTGAGCTACCTGGCCAGAGCTTTTCTACATTCTTTTTAATGATGGGATGGGAGTTCATTCTTTTTTTTTTTTTTTTTAAATATATTTTATTGATTTTTTACAGAGAGGAAGGGAGAGGGATAGAGAGTTAGAAACATCGATGAGAGAGAAACATTGATCAGCTGCCTCCTGCATACCCCCTACTGGGAATGTGCCCGCAACCAAGGTACATGCCCTTGACTGGAATCGACCTGGGACCCTTGAGTCCGCAGACCGACGCTGTATCCACTGAGCCAAACCAGTCAGGGCAGGGAGGTCATTCTTAATACATGCCAAATACTTCAAAAGATTACAGTAGGCCTCCTCTTATTCAGTACTCCTTTCAGATCCTCTGAATGCCCTTCTTATCTCCTGTAAGAAATATCTTTTCCATTGAGCTTCAAGTCACTCAGGAATACTATTCTCTTCTCTACTCCTCATTAAGGGCATTTACCAATTTCATTGATTATCAAGCTCATTAATAACTTTAGTACATTGCTCTGTGCTTTCTTTCTTCCCCGAGTCGTATCATCCTGACTGGCTTCAATGTCTGGATGGACATCTAATTAAACTTGAAATTCTCAATGACTTTCTCCGCACTTTATCAGAACACACTGGCCAATACAAAGAAACGTCATCACTTCCAAAATGAAGTACTTAAACACTTTACTCTATGGCTACAGTTTCCCAAATTTCCAGTTCTTTCAGCCAGTTACTCTAATAAAGATTTTCTCTCTCACTGAGATCTTTTATCCCTTGACCCAGCTAAACTCTCCTTATCTATAATACCTTCCTTTCATTACCTCTTTCCCAAACCAGCTTGGTTTTCATTGTCCTTTACTTCAAGTACTCTCTTTTTTTAAAAAAATATTTTATTGATTTTTTACAGAGAGGAAGGGAGAGAGATAGAGAGTTAGAAACATCAATGAGAGAGAAACATCGATCAGCTGCCTCCTGCACATCTCCCACTGGGGATGTGCCCACAACCCAGGTACATGCCCTTGACCGGAATCGAACCTGGGACCTTTCAGTCTGCAGGCTGATGCTCTATCCACTGAGCCAAACCGGTTTCGGCCAAGCACTCTCTTGATAACATCCTCTACCCATTCCACTGCCACACTGTCTCTACCAGCTGTACTCATCTGCCAACCTCCAAACCTTGGGTCAATCTAAATGTTTGCCTTCACTGTAATGATATCCAGGCCACTGGACTGATAGCAGAAAAACAATTGCTTATGAGGTCGGTACTACTGTATATTCTTAATTTTCAACATCAGTGCACCTTTCTGCAGCCCAGAAATCCTTCTAAGCTTTGCATATTAGCTTTCTCTTGTTTTCCACAGTGCCTATGTCAATTCCTCACTTTCCCAATTATATCTATACCAACTCCACTGCCACTTGCATCAACAGGGTCAATTTTCTATACCTCATACTTCATGGAGAAAATAAACCACTGCTTCCCATAATCACATCTGTAAACTTAGCTAAGTTATATCCATAATTTTATCTTCCCCTATTACAAAGGAAAATATTTTACTTCCTCTAGGTCTAATCACTCATTAGGAATATGGCTATCATCCTCAGGCTATATCAATTATCAATTTTCCTCTATAACTTCAACATGATCCAATTTGCTCCTCAGCATTAACATTTAAACATGATCAAATAGCTCTCACCTAGCCCTAACCAGTTTGGCTCAGTGAACAGAGCGTCGGCCTGCGGACTCAGGGGTCCCAGGTTCGATTCCGGTCAAGGGCATGTATCTTGGTTGCGGGCACATCACCAGTGGGGAGTGTGCAGGAGGCAGCTGATCGATGTTTCTCTCTCATCAATGTTTCTAACTCTCTATCCCTCTCCCTTCCTCTCTGTGAAAAATCAATAAAATATATATATTTTTAAAAATCAATAAAATGTATTTTAAAAAAAGAATAGCTCTCACCTATTACATGTGTGTAGCTTTTAAGGGGAGTACGTTGCTTGTCAATCACCAATTAAGGTTAGAAAATGAGAAATATAATAAATGCCCTATAGTGAAGGTCCCCAGCAAACATTATATATTTCACCATATTTTAAATATCTAAAAAAATTGGAAGATCCAATGATCTCTCAATTAACCATCACTATTTTGAATCATCTTAAGTGTAATTCTATAGATGAATTTACCAAGCTTTATAATGAACTTAGTAAGAAAATTGCCAATATTAGTATTCGAGCCAGATTCTATTTAGTCGCAGCCAAATTTTTTTTCTGAAAATTATTTTGATGGCAACTTTGAACTGTAGTTGATCTAAGTTCTAAAAATAAAATCTCCCAAAGAAAGCCATCCTTTAATCCAAGTTTAGTGATTGCATATTAATGCCCTAACTGAAAAAAAAAATTTAAAGGAGAATATAGAAGTTTAGGGCAGCAAAAAAAAAATATGGTTTTAGGAAATTCTTTATTATTCCCAGGCCCAATGAAGCAAATATTAAGAAGTCTAAGCTATATAAGTGACCTGTAGCTTAATCTGGTATCTTGGTGTTTTATTTTGTTTTTAAATATGTTTTTATTAATTTCAAAGAGGAAGAGAGAGATAGAAACATCAATGAGAGAGAAACATTGATCAGTTGCCTCCTGCATGCCCCCTACTGGGGATGTGCCCTGACAGGGAATTGAACCTATGACCTCCTGGTGCACGGTACAATACTCAACCTATTGAGCCACACCAGCCAGGCATCTTGCTGTTTTATACAAAAGCTTTCAAACAAATTTCCATTAAAACTGCCCCGCTAATGACCTTTTATTTTATGAGTACAATTTCAATGAGCAGATCCCAGCCAGATAAATCTCCTAACTTCCACCATTGAGAGACTTCTTAGAGGTTCCTTCAAAGTCTCAGATATAAAAGTAGAAGGATCATAAGAATTCTCATTGCTCTACTAAGATCACTCTTATAAACGACCACTGAAATGTTGCTTCTTATGAAAGAACTAGAGGCCCGGTACGCATGAATTCGTGCACCGGTGGGGTCACTCGACCTGGCTTGCAGGGATCTGGCTAAAATCGGCAGTCCGACATCCCCCAATGCAGTGGTTCTCAACCTTCTGGCCCTTTAAATAGTTCCTCACGTTGTGACCCAACCATAAAATTATTTTCGTTGCTCCTTCATACATTACAAATGTTGCTACTGTTATGAATCGTAATGTAAATATCTGATATGCAGGATGGTCTTAGGCAACCCATGTGAAAGGGTCGTTCGACCGCCAAAGGGGTCGCAACCCACAGGTTAAGAAACGCTGCCCCAATGGGTCCCAGAGTGCAATGGTACTCTGCAAAGTTGTTGTCATAAGGCAGCTCCTGCGTTGAGCTTCTGCCCCCTGGTGGTCAGTGCATGTCAGCTACCAGCCAGTTGGCTGGTCACTTAGGCTTTCATATATATACTAGAGGCCCGGAGCACGAAAATTCATGCACTAGGGGCGACCCTCAGCCTGCCCTGTGCCCTCTAGCAGTCTGGAATGCCTCGGGGGATGTCCACCTGCCAGCTTAGGCCTGCTCCCTAATCTGGCAGTCAGACATTCCTCTGACAGCCCAGGAGCCCCCGGGGGATGTCCAACTGCCGAGGAGGCAGGAAAGGCTCCCGCCACCACCGCTGCACTCACAGCCATCAGTCCAATTTGTGACTGAGAGAAGCTTCTCCTGTGGGAACGCACTGACCACCAGGGGGTCTGCATGGAGGGTCTGCCCCCTGGTGGTCAGAGTGTGTCATGGAAACTGGTCGTTCCTGGTTGTTCCACTGTTAGGGTCAATTTGCATATTTCCCTTTTATTATATAGGACATAGATAGAAAGTTTGCAATGTTTGCTTCTTATGGAAAATGAAAATAAAATAGGCAAAAACGTTACCTTCCACTTTATATGAAATAGGCAAGCCACCCTACCCCTTGCAAAAGAGCAAGCTGGGATTCAAAAAGTATTTATTATTGAGTATCAATTAAATATTATGCATTCTACCAGGTAAATTTTAAAATTATCTTCTTTATTTTTAACAATAACTGTTCAAGGTAAATAAGACCATCCATATTATCAAGATAAAAAAATTGAGACTTTGAAATGTTAAGTAACTAGGAAATGCAGAGCTAAGACTCAAATTTAGATCTATATGAATCCAAAGACTATAAACTTTCCACTAGATCACAGAAACTCGTGAGCATCTATCTATATAGGCAATAAAATACAGAATACAGAAATAAATGAGTGTAGTATCCTCAAAAAAGAAAAAACAAAATTTAACTGTGGAATTCTACTTTATATAATAAAATATGTATTTAAATGATGCTGTTCATAAGAAATAAAATGTTTTGCCCTGGCCGGTGTGGCTCAGTTGGTTGAGGATCAGCCTGTGCACCAAAAGGTCGCTGGTTCAATTCCCAGTCAGGACACATATCCAGGTTTCAGGTTCAATCCACAGTCACGGTGCATATGGAAGGCAACTAATTGATGTCTATTTCATCCCCCTCTCCCTTCCTCTCTCTCTAAAATCAAGAAAAACAGTCAGAGTAACCAAGATGGCTGCATAGGTAAACACAGGAGATTGCTGCCTCACACTACCACTTCAAAAATACAACTAAAAGATGAAATGGACATCATCCATTCTACAGGAAGGCTGGCTGAGTG